CATAACTGGACAAAATACAACAGCCGCTACAACGGCAGCTGCTGTAGGAGATTTAAACTCATAAGTACAAATTTGTTATCAAACTAAAGTGCCGTAACGTTCACATATTGACTGGTTATATTTTCCAAATCCATGTAAATCAAAATGGTTTATTATAGACCTAATGCGATTATTTAAGCATGTTTATAAATATTTTTGTAGACCTTAATATTAAGTGTTAAAAGTGCCAATGAAGTATGCAATTTTTTTATGTTGTGTATACACATTATTTATTGTATAATTGTAAATTAAGTTAAGAGTTAGATATATGACATTTGGCGATTTTAATTAGTCCAATTAACTGATGAATAATAATTTTTATTTTTATTTCACTCTTGATTTACAAAACACTTCTTCATTCCCATATCAATTTTTTTTTTGTTTTAAAAAACTACATTTTACTTATTTATTATATACAAATTATATGTACGTATCAATAAATATATATATGTGTGTGTGTGTGTGTGTGTATGTGTAGATAACATAAACACAATCAATCGTATTGTATTACATATTAATACATATTGACATTTTCTATAATATGAAATTTAAAATACTTATTTCTACTTTAACCCTTGATGGGTATATATTTTTTTAAATTGTTTATTAATAGTACTCCAACTGTGATATGATCATTTGTTTGTTGGCCTAGTCGATTATGTATGTTAACTTGTTGGATTGTTAAAATCGCCACTAATCAATGTTTTTTTTTTTTTTAATTAAGTCATGTTTTGCAACCATTATTATATGTTATCCTAATTAGTATCCTCAAAACCCATCTCCATTAAATTTATTAAGAACATTCTATGTAGTATTTTAACAATGGCTACCATAATATTTATATAATAAATGTGTTATATGCTTGTATTATATTTATTAATTCTACACAATTATGCCAAATATTAAAACGGAAAAAAATTAATAATCAAAATATTTTGTTTTGCAAATCAAATTATTTTTAAACCAACTTTAAAAAGTCTGATATTAACAATGTTTAAATATATTTTTGTATTGATCAATATTAATTGCCATCGGCAGAAACCATGTGATAATCGTGCCTTTTTGTCTGTACTGTTTTATTTGCATTTATTTTTTTTTTTCAAGTAACTTTTCTTTTAGCTTAAGATGCTTAAAAATCTTTGTGTTTATATAATCTTTTATTTTATTTTCCCCACCAAAAAGTGCCATTCAAAAAATTACTTCCTGTACATTATTTGTTCATTAATATTTTTGCCTTCCATTTATTTGTTTTGCCATATTATAGTAAAATATATTTATTTTTTTAATAGAAATATTTTTATTACAAACATGTCATGTATAAATCTATTGTTAGTGTAAAATTAATTAATACATGTTTATTATATTAATGATACAAATTTAAAATCTTAGTCGATGCACATCAAATCAAATATTCGTAATGTGTCATACTAATTTGTTAATAAGTATTATTTATTAAGTTAAGCTACACGTCGTTTTTTTATTTAGTTATTATTAAAATTTATATTTATTTCAATCATTATTATCCTCATTAGGCTATATAATTTCATTTTGTTTCGTATTATTAATTATTTTATTGTTTTTCTTATAAGATCCCATATTATCATGTATTACTTACTTCATTTAATTATCACATGAATATTTATGTTTACATCCATTGCTTTTTATTGTAATATTTTTATTAAAACAAAAAAAATTGAATTTTTTTAACGAATTTATGTTTTATTTTTTATTTAAATTAAAATAGTATTGGTTAATATTGAATTATATAAATAACCTTTCCTCCAACTTGAAAAAAAATATTTGGTGTCAATCATTCATTGTTGCTTGCTCTGCTATGGGGTGTTCAAAATTTTGGTTTTGTCATGTCCACAGGGCGTGTGTTTTTATCATATTTTTGTAAGTGTCAATGTACTAACTTGGGATCAATTTTACATACATATATATATATTTAAATTTCATATTTGCTTTGGATTTTTATATGAACATGCGCTTAGGTACCTGTAAGTACTACCGTCAAGTAAGTATTAATTATATTTTATATTACCCGTGAAATTAATGAATACGTTTCTATATGTATGTATAATAAATATATTATATTAATAGCAAACTTTGGGTTGTTCGCGCATGCTTTTGTGGTTGCTCCTAATTAAAAAATTAAATAAAAAAATGTTTCGAGTTGTGCCTGCACTGGGAGGACACATTGGACTAACTAATCGGGGCAAAATATGTTGTAAAAAAAAAAAATCGGTTCATTAATAATGTGTGTATGTATGCAATTTGGTTTCGATTTATGACTAAATTCGATTTTTATCAGTTACTCAACTTATTCAAAATCGTGTTCAAAGTACATAATATATTATTTTATTTTTATTTTGAATTCGGTTCATAGATTTAAATAATAGCACTCGGACTAAAGATAATCGTTCGGTGTCAAGCACAGCTCGATATGTATTGTAGGTGTAATTGCCATTTGTTATTTCCTACAGACTTCATGTTTGCCATCACCGGCACAACTATTGATAACTCGACGACCGTGCGTTACGAGTGTCCGCAATGTAGCCGCACGTATAAATGGCGTAGTTCCCTGAAGAGTCATTTGCAAAACGAATGTGGCAAAGAACCTCGGTGCTTGTGTCCTCATTGCCCGTACCGATGCAAAGTTCGGTCTAATCTGTTGAAGCATGTACGGAACTATCACAAACCTCCGTCATCTGTGGGGCAAAACTCCGTGTACGAAGGATCGAAGATCACACACCAATAAATTATAAATAAGAATGCTCAATATATATATTTTGTTAACGATCTTTTAGTGCCAAATTTTACTATTATATTTTAAGTTTGTCTGATAATATGATTTTGCTATTTTATATGTGTAATGTTTATTTTACTTTTTTTTATCTTAGTCAACAAATATTATAAATCGCCTACTTAATGAATAATCATATTTTTGGGACTGAATTTAATTACTTGTCGACAGATCTTAACTTTTTTATTATTATTATTGTGTGTTATGTTTTGCATTTAGAACATAGATTTTTAGTTATTATTATTTTTTTTAAAAATTATTTTAAATTGGGTTGTACAAACTATTTTACTTACCACTTATGGATTCTTACTTAAGATTTCTACTCGTTTTATGTTTGAATAATATAGTTGTTAAAAATAAATACTGTTCAAATATATTGATGTACTTAATTATTAATAAATATTTATAACATATTCTTTACAGAATACGCCGTTTTATAACCACCCCATAAAATATGATTTATTTTACACAAATATTTAAGGTAAGTATTAGTGTGACTATAGATGTTTTGTGTTTTACTAGATGAGAAGTTTTTGTGTTCATTTTTAATTGCGTTTTATTTATTTTACTCTTATTGTTTTGTACACTTTTATTTATTTTAGTCTAATCATCATGTAGTAAGTACAGTTTTATTCCAATCGAATAGACTCTGGATTCAATTCTATACCATGTAAGTAATACATTGTATTTTGACTACACACATTTGAGACTTAGTACAAATTTAAAAAAACTGACTGTCATTAAGTTTTTAATTTAAATGTATAGATATAAAAATAAAAAATAAATTAATATAAAATAAATATAATAATATATAAAATACGTATTTTTTATAATTAATTAAAATAATAAAATATAAGATATTATACTCGTAGTCGTCCCTTTTGTAGATAAACGACTAGGGCTCAATATTGGTCAGAAGTATTGTATGTAGATAATGTTTTTTTTTAAATCATAGAAAAAATATGTTTACAAAATATATATCTATTATATTTAAAATGAAGAATTTTAATAACAATTTTTAATAAATTATACTTAATTCAGATTGGACACTTCTTTTATTCAAGTCTACTCATACATCTTATTGGATAACAATTTTTCAAGCAATAAAATAATTAAAAAATTTGCATATTAAATATTAATTGTATAGTCGATCGATAGTTCAACATAAATTATATGATAAACAATTTATTGATAGTTAACACATTTTAAATCTTCGAGTACCATAAACTGTATACCTACAGATAGTTTAAAAAAATACATTAAAGTCTAAGTACCTACTGTTTTTGCTAGAACTCTGTTGAAAGTTGATAGTTGCTAGTGAAATAAAACTCAACATTTAATCTAAGTGTATAATTTAGTTTAAAATTATGTAAGTTAAATCAATGAAAATAAACACATTAATCATAATCGTAAATAATTAAGTTATAATATCTTAAACATATTTAAATATATAGGTAATTAAACATATACGTTTATGTTCAAAGTACCAATGCAATATCGTATAGATATTTAGTACGTATAAAAACCAATTAAATTTTATCAAAACTAATTGATTTTTAGATATGTGTGTTACTCAAAATTAATTTTCAATAAAATTAAAGAATTTGTTTCCATACGAATATTAGAAATATGCATCAACATTTTATTTACCCGTAATTAATAAGAATTTAACTTGGTTATTCGATCAAATACAAATGTAGTTTAATTAAAAGAGCTTAACCAAAAATTGTGTAAGGTAGACATGCAGAGGATATTATTAAAACATGCTTGTGATGCCTACTACCCGATTGAGATGGACCTTCTTTAAAAATACATAGTCGTTCTTCATTTTTTTACTTGCCCATTCGTTATGACAAGAGTTTGCTACCATTGTAGTCACAATGACTACAATGGTAGCAAACTTTTGACTTACCGGGGGCTATAGATTTTTATCGGATATTAATCGGCATGTATTCCGTTCGATTTTGGAACACATATTTATTTATTTATACGTGATAGTTCTCAGCTAAAAATGAATATGAAATACTGTGATTTACGATATACCTAATAACTATTTAAAATTATAGAACACATTGGTTTTGCGTAAAAATCACTAAGCAAACCGATTAGTATTTACAAAGTATGCAAATATGGTTTTCATTCTTTGCGGTTTCAGAGTCCGATTCGTTGGCGGAAAAATTCGAGTGCAAGCTGTGTGGCAAGGTGTACCAGTGGAAGCAGAGTCTGAAGAGACACATCCGCGAGGACCGGTGTGACAAAGGGCCGCAGCACGCCTGTCCCCGGTGTGGCATGAGCTTCAAGCACACCAGCCGCCTCAACAAGCACGTGATCCTGTGCCCGCACATCGTGTTTGACGACAATCCGGCCACCACATCCGCGCCCGCCTCGTCGTCCTCGTCAACCGTGCAGCGCATACTCAAGCTGCCGCCCCCGTGCCCAGACGCGTTGCCTATCACCGCCGTGTCCACGAGCACCACCACGACACCATCGCCGTCCCAGACCATACTGGTGTTGCATTTGAAAAATCAGAGTTTGGCCCAGAATTGGAATTCTAAGATCCAAAAACTGGGCAATTAATAATGAAAAAAACAATAACAATTGAATACGTGGTGTTGCGGGGGAAGAGAACATTTTCGAAAAATACGTTTTTTTCTATATTTTAAATATGTGTGCAGGATTAGTTGTTTATGTGTGTGAGTGCGTGTGTGTGTGTGTGTGTGTGGAATCTGTACGAAAATTTATGTTTATCATATTTATTCTCGGAGGGTCTCATCCTGTACAATGTGCGTGACCTTTCGCATTTTTATTACTATTATTATTATTATTATTATTATTATTATTATTATTATTATTGTGTATTATACTGACTGAACGCGCGCGTTTGGGTTTTACTTAATTACACGTGTAAAGCATAATGGGTTGTTTGTACCTATATGAATATTTCATGACGTGTTCATTTACACTCGTCGCGTCCTGTTCACGTCAAACCAAATGCAATGATTGCGAAGCTTTAAGATTTAAGTTCAAAAACTATTTCACGTGGCATAATATCATGTAATACCGTGTACTATTATCGTGCATTATTTATACTAGTCAAATATGGAACAACACAATCTAGTCTTGTTTTTTTTTTTTCTTCTTTTATGTAATTACTTATTTTCGTTTTGTGCAATTTATTTAGGGACAAAATATACCCCCGTTTTTTTCGTTTATAACGGCGTGTATCGATTTAATTTATATTGTATAAGTTTTATTTTAATTACTTAGGTAGTTCTATTGTACTTATAGGTTATAATGTTATAATGTATAATGTTATACCGGAAATGTTTTAGACATCGATTTGTGATGTATGTACCAAATAGTCTCTAGTCAGTCACTATATAAATATGCATTAAAATATAATATAGTCAATAAGGTTGAAAATATGTGACGGCAGTTCTCTCCAACCGACGAAATTATTTAATTCATTGATGACATTTATTTTATGAGTTATTTATATTCGTTCGTTTGAAATCATTTTATTTTCATTTGAAAAATTATCGTTTGTTGTAATCGATAAATTTTATTTGAGATTTTTTCTTTATATAGTGAACAAATATTCTCTAAACTTTTCATATTAATTAACTAATTTTATCAACGGTCGAAACTAAATGTACTTTTATAATATTAAAATATTGTTATACTTTAGGGACGTCGAGAAAATCATAATCATTGCCGATCTATCGACCAATGGTTGCATATTATATTGTCAGTGTGTAAACTTTAACTTAGCGAATTCGAATATAAATGTGTTCGCGCGTTATCAAACGCGATTGTGAGAGTATATAGAGATGAATGTCACATTAATTTAACATATTATATTATATACACCTACACGAATTTATTCTTTATGTATTTATATACATTTTATTTTCCAGTTGTATTATACGTAAACAAAAACGCACAAAACACGAGTAGAATGTGAAAACGTATTATAATGTAACACAGGTACATAATTATCTTAGTTATTGTTTTTGCGTCTTGTCTTTAAAGAGGTTGTGCGTAGGTGCGTATTGTATTTTGAATACAGTCAACGAATATCTCGAGCTTGTCCGTATGTACTATTTAAATGTTTTCGAATAATTAAGTACAAAAATACGTGATGTTATTTTCACAAGTGCGGGTCCGGTTTTTCGCGCGTATAATTAATGGGGAAATTCGTCGAGCTTATCGAACTGTAAACAAAATCGCCTCTCAGACGCATAAAATATTATAAGATCAAAGTTGTATAATATCTTTTTTAAATCCGTTGACAAAATATTGGTATACATGTAGGTCCGTCTGATGGCACATAGGTTAAATGAACCATATTTTCAAATTATTCAGTTTCATTTTATTTTAAATATTCAGCAGGATTGTTCATATTTAACATGTTACAAGCTGGTATATGATATAGGTATTATTTTTATACTTGCACATATTCCCTTCACTTTGCGTACATTAGTTGGCAAAATATTAAGTGCTCGCCCTGAAAAAAAAAACTGAAATGTCGCCATTCATTATACAAAACCGGAGTTTCGGTATATACAAGTAGATGATATATCATGATGATGTACCTATACCATCTTTTGCAGTTCGTGAACGTATGCTAAAACGTCATCACGATTCGTATACCTTTTCGTACATTCTTACTACACGTGCATCCGGATGCTGCATCATTATATTATAATATGGTTTTTGACTGCAAGTCGCGTTTCTGAAATAGGTCCACTTGGTCGCGAATAATGTAAATTATGACAAAAAATGTATTATATCCCTCTAGTACATTATTATAAAATTAATTGTGCGAAATCATTGCGTCTATGCAACACACGACCGTTACTATCTTAATATGTGTATAAAAGTTTTATTTTGTAACTAACCCGTATTGTGCATTACTATTTAGTCATTATTTGTATTTGTATATTTTTTTTTTATCATTTATTGCAATTAAATCAACTTCCTTGATTTAGCTATGAACATTAATGTGTAGCAATTTAATTACTTGTGTTTAAATATTTATATATAAAAAATATAATTCTGTAAATGTTACCACTTACCCCACGCGGTGTTGCTGCTGGTGGTGGTGATGGTGGTATACATGTATGAATCTAGTCAGGTACAAGCACAAATGTTAATATATTATATATTATTTGTGTATTATTTCAGTGTATATGTGTATTTATAAAAATTATATGAATGATTAACAAATTATTCCTTGATTTTATTTTTCTAGTCGTTTCATATAATATTATAGCTTGAACGATTATAATAATGTTGTCACTGGTTTCATTAATATATATGTACAGATACTCGAAATTATTAATTTAACCGTAATCACATATAATATATATTACACATACACATATTAATTATTTGTGCGTAGAATGAAAGAACAAATTATATATATATATATATATTTTGATATTCATGAATATCATGTGTATAAATCCCTGTTATCTACAACATACATACATTTTTTTAAATGTATTTATTTATTGTACTTTGAGTGAGCAATACAAAACAAGTTTAAAAACACCAAACCGTTGTATCGCATTAATTTTTAAATAGATATTATCTATATGTCGTCAGATATTCCACGCGGTGTATATGTTGATATATTGGTACACGAGTCTTCTGTCGGTTGTTACGAAATTTCCGAGTCGCTTCCTACCTATAATCGAAGTACCGACCTACGAGAATACATAATTTTATAATAATAAATCTCGACTGGGTGTCATATGATAATATAATGGCTTTATGGATACTACCCGTAGTATGCCTAGTTTAGTGCAAATCTCGAGGTCAGTTGTCCGTTGTGCGATGAAGAAAAAATCAGAGAATTATTCGACGAACACAAATTAAGAAGTGTACTTTTAAGATATGACAACGAATACACAATACACTCCTTTTTTGTTTTATTTTACTACCAAAACCCGGAATTGGTTGCACTAGCATACCGGAGTTCATATGAGCCGGAGCTGTGAACTTCGTCTTTTTCTATCTGCTTCTTTCAATACTTTTTCCATACTACAGACGTAAATAACTACGCTATACTCGACTGCATTTATTAACCAGGTGGATTCCGTGCGGCCTAATAATTCTATGCGTTCATTCGTGAAAAACAATGTTTGTACTTGCACTAATCGCCGCCGTGTTTGTTTCAGGGAACACGCCGGTCATTTGGATCGTCAAATGCCCGTACTGTCGACTGGTAATCGATTCGGAACTGGAAGACCATTTGGGTTCTTGTAGCGTGTTCACCGCACTCAAAATGTATCTGCAGCGAAGGAGATTGCGATTGGACCAGTAAAATAATCAGCCACCGCCGCCGTGTGCTTATTAAAACATACGCGTCTTATACCAATACCATACTGTACACAACATTACTACACGTTTTGTCGAGTTTGAGACGCATTTCGTATTAGCGTTTACTTTAAAATAATATACCTCGACTACGGCGTCAAGGATAACATAACATGCTTACCAAAGTGTATATTTTGTAAATGTTTCGAAAATGATTCTTGGACGTAGTTTTTACTGTACATTATAATAGTTCATTATTATAGTACATACAATCCAGGGTAAAAATATCTGTTCCCCCACCCGGGAATTTTCCACTTTGTCCGATTTGTACGTGGAAGATATGAAGTAGGTAGCAATGTGCCCTACACGAAACTACCAATCTTGTACGAGCGTCTTCATCCTAGACGACGACCACTGTGACCATATTATGCTAGTATGTCTTGTGCGTGTTATATTATTGTTGTAACTGTAAGGTCGGACACTTCAACATTTGTGGATGTTCCTATTTTTACATAGTACACACCCTCTGTATCAGTGACGAACGCAGGAAGTGGGTTCCGGGTTAGGTTACATTTTTCTCAGGAGAAATGCTTAACAATATATTTTTAATTTAAATTAATCAGCTTCTTATACGGAACGTTTTTTCATTTCGATATATGCGTGAAATCTTGCGTACGCTACTGCGTACACACTAGTCTTTAGATTTCTATAATTATTATTTTACTTGATGTTGACTATAAATATAATTATTATGTCTTATATGTATTATTGTTATTTTCGTGGTACACTTGTCGTATTTTCCTCTCGCAGGACTTCCTTCTTCCACCGCTGTAGGTATCGTAATTTGTTTAGATCTTTTCTCGAGCTCAAACCATTGTCGCAGATACTCTGGCGGTGAGGGGAGGGAGGGTAACTAGCCGACATGTTGCCTGTGATCTGTATAACAGCGTTCTCGTGTATTTCTATTGCATATTTATACTTATCGTTTGCGTTTTTTCTTTGCGTTATTTTTCAGTCAAGAGTTGGATTTGCAAATCATGTGGTAAATGGTACAAGCATAAAGATTCTTTACGCCGACACACCAGAGACGAATGCGGCAAAATGCCTCGACACCAATGTCAAATTTGCCACTCGTATTTTTTTCACAAACATAGTTTGCGCAGCCACTCGATTACCAAACACAAATTGTTAATCTGAAGTACTAAACATATCTTTCCGTATGCCGTCTGTTCGTACATGTTTTACCGTCTTGAATATATAATATTTCATTAATAATTATTATTGTTATTTATTGTACCGATTGTTTTGCGTTATACGCTCGTCTGCAATAACTGTATACATATAATGTGTATATACATTAGTTTTTCGACGAAATAAAATACACGTGTTCCTTATATATTTAACACACCCCTTTATTAAATATTTATATGTTCAGTGGCGTACATACGGGAGGTTTCCGGGTTCAACCCCCCCCCAAGGCCAAAAAAAAAAATTGTTTTATTATTGATGACGTGTAATATATTCGTAGTTTCATTATTACGCTTTGAACTTAAAATATAAAACCATACAAATATTATGATAATTAAATAATTATATTGATAGGTGTTTGAAAAGTTTTGTTAACTACTCTGTTTTTATATTCCAATAGCTATTAATTTACTGTAATGTAAAAGTAAACTGTAAATTGGTAAAAAAGTTGTATAAAATAATATCTATTTATAGCAGTTATTTATCTTATTTATCTGTGCAACGAAAAAAAAAAAGATAACGATTATTTTTGTTAACCCCCCCCTCCCAGAGCAAGATTGAATGTACGCCATTGTATATGTTATATCGTTATTTAATTTTCAATTACCGTAGAGTTTCTCCACGAACGCAATAACATACAACATTATTACCTACGTTATTACAATTGAGACACCTATATCAATGCATACGCATATCGAAACTATACGCGTATTATTATTTTGTACTATTTACACGTGTACTTGTGTTGCTTTTGTTTCCGTCAACTGTGTGTCGATTTGTATTATTATCATTACGAAAATAGTTAGCGTGCATGTGCGTATCTGTACACATACACATATTTACTGGTACCTAACTGGTGGTGCCCGGTGCTAATCTACGTATTTTTTGTTTTCCCACTCCCGAGCAGGAAACCAAAACGACGGCAGCGGTGGTGGACACGTGTTGCTGTCGTCCACTAGAGCTTACCTGCAGCAGCAGCAACAGGTGCCCGTCAACCATCATTATCATCACTCTTCACCGTCGTCGTACGCGTGCGCCCGTTGCGGCAATTCGTACGCCCGACTTCACAGTCTGAGCCGACACGTCCGATTTGAATGCGGCGTGGATCCGAAGTTCGAATGTCCCATATGCCACAAGAAGTCCAAGCACAAACACAACCTACTGTTGCACATGAAGACCCATCTCAAATGATCATCGTCCGTCCGGATAATTTGTCTGCGTACACGTACACATACCACACCCTTAGCGGCTTATATCCAGTAGCCCGGGGTATGTGAACACCGAATTGACTATAACTTCATACATCGTGTGAGAGGATTGCGTACAAGACAGTTTAATCTATTCAGCGGGTGAGAGAGAAGGGCACATCCTAGTTGGGTCCCAGATAATATTTATTATTAAGATAAACAACTAATTGAGTCCGATTATAAAAACGATTACATACTAAATCGGTCCGACCATTCCGATAATAAAATCTGTAACTTACAAGTATTGGTACACTTGATAATGTTAAAAAAAATTAATAGATTTGAATTTGTAAAAGTTCTATGGTTTAGATTTTTACCGTTTTTTCATTTTTTTAATCAGTTATTTTATCTATTTACCATAAACCAGTGTTCTAATTTTCAATTCATAACTATACACAATTGTATACCAAGTATTAGAAAGTTTTTAAAAAAAAATCATACCTGTATTCTAATATATAGATAGACAACCCTAAATCTATAAAAATGAGAAGGAAAATGTTTTTTTTTTTTATGGACCCAATTCGAGTAGTACTGGTAAAATCTTGGGACTCAACTAGTAAACGCCGAGAGAGAGAATCACGAAGTCATGCGAAAAATTAATATATTCTATCTGATGGACGGTGGTCAGGTCGAGCAATGCAATATATATTGTTTATGCCCGAATTATGTAAAACATAAGTCTAGTCAAATAACATGATTACATCTACTATTAATAAATAATAATGCTGAGAGTCACTTGTGATGTCTGTAGCAGTATTAAATTTTTTTTTCCATAAAAGTCCAACATTTTGTGATATTTATAATTATTTTTATGATTATTAAAATACGGTTTTACATAAAATATTATATCAATTTATTTTTATACTCCTAAAAATGACAGCGTTAATTATAAGGTATAGTTTAAATGTATCTATAGGCAGTACTTGAATTGGAGAGGCCCCTGTATTCCTACAATTTTATTTTTAATGTTTTTTATTTTATTTTTTTCACTAATAGAACATGATTTCATGGTTGGGTTCTTATTTTTTTACTAATTTGAGTATTGTCTTCAGATACGTAACAGAATAGACTTATCCATTCTGTGCTAATTATTACTATAATGTATATTAGTTGGTAGTAAGTACCTATACGCGTTGTAATGTGGTGAAAAATAAATTTAATTTCACATTCTTTATCCGTAAAAAAATTTGTTTATAACTACGGGTATTAACGGGTATTTACGGGTAATTTTTAAATTATGTTAACCTCAAATTATTCCAGTCGGGAAAATTAGGAAGTGCTGTATTAAGATGAGCTGCCGAACCATACGCCACTACGGCAATTACTACTTAACACTCATTATAATACTATATGTACCTATATAAACTCATTGCTCATCGAAAACCATTTCATCGTTGTAAGTTACGTGAAAATCAGCCAATAATTGAAGCGAATTATTTCGAAGTCTGTTGTGGTGTTCTTAGACAGTTGACTCGGATCGCTATGTAAGCAAGACAAATAATTTTTCAATACTTCAACTATGGATAAATACATAAATGTGGTTGAAATACAATTTTAACTGAAGCCGGTCAGACAATTAGGCGGTACAGATCGTCGATCTACGTATGACCAAATAATGGTCATGTTTAGATATTTTAAACGAGCGGTTATTCTCTTGATCTGATAATGATTGGTTTCCCCGCGATCGTTTGAAGATTTGACGGATCTTAATATGTAATATAATATAACGGATTTAACGTAATGAGTTAACTATTTAATGGGCGGGTGTATCGAAAATCTAATTTTTTTATACTGAACCTACAGCAGTGAATAGTCTAAACAAGAAAATAACAACAAAAATGGAAAAATTATCATCATAAATGTTAAATGACGTCCACAATTCAAGTACAATATAATTAAGTCTGTTATATCTAACAATTCGCAAGCATAGGTATGCAGGGTATACAACTGCATGCCTTAAACAAATACTTGTTTCTAAAAACACCAAAAATAAATATAAAGCATGACATATTTGGTCTTTAAATTTATATTATATGATTTTGTATTACACTATGACTATTATTAAATTTTTATATTCAGTCTCGGACGTTTATTTTTATTTTGCAACACAAATTATATACTTATATAATAACGATTTAATATATTAACTAAATTTAGAGGTACTATCTTTCAAGAGAGATAAAATAGCTTAATGCTTTTAAATAAAGAGCAAGAAATGGCTATAAATTTAAATCCAAAAGACATTAATGATGATATCAAAAACTCAACTGAAAGCAGAAGTTCAAATTTATTTTTTTATTGAAGTATATGGCTATGTTTTAATTTATTTACATTATTTAAACCATTTGAAGTATTATATGTCTATTTTTTTTTTTTTTGTTAGTAATTTATTTTAAATTTCAATTATGTAGACAATTATAACAAAAAATAAATAACTGTTCTGTCACTTTGTTTAAGAAAAAAATTGAATTATTAAATAAAATAGTTATTTACACATTTGTGTACATTTTTACCAGAATTTTGTAAGCTTAAAATATTTTTTAGTGAAGGGACATGCTTTTGCATATCCTAAAAAAGAGGCCTGTGCACACCTAGTCACAGATATAAGTAATTGTTAAAAATTAATTTATTAACTGTGAGTAAATAAAATAGCATCTTAAAAGTCATAATTTTTTTTATTCAAATACATTTTAAATTAAAATTATTTAAATGTATGTATTTTAAGACCCATTTGTTATCAATAGCAATATCCTTATATCTCATATATATATTTTAAATTAATAAAAAGTTTGAGGTGACTGAAGAAATTAATTTGCTAATATCTGATTCATATGTTTCATATAAATTTTTACCAACTGTATAATAAAATTAACTAATGTATAACAATACATTAACATTAACTTAAAATGTTAATATTTACATTATTTTTTATAATAGTCAACTTTTAAGTATGTAGGTAGATAATATATAAGTAGTTTAACAATTATATATACCAAATTTAGTATAGTATACATATTAGATTTATTATCTACGATTTACATTTTAAATTATTTTCAGATAATAATCAATTGTAACTTATCTTGACAAAAGCTTTTAATTCTTAAAAATAGCCTCAAAATATATATTTAATTAAAAGCACAAAATTTGCTATCCAGATTTTATTCATTCACAAATTTTATGTTTGGCTTTTGAGGTATACTAAAGAATTATCTCAATTACCACAATCAATTTAATGAAATCATGTAAAAATAAAAATTCTACTATATTGTTAGAACATGCTGAACTGCTGCTGTAAAATTATTATACTGCTTTCAACACACTATTTATCAGGATATAATAACTAATAAGAATTATTATTGCAATTGTCTAGGCGGATCAGATGACTTGGATGAAAAATTGTTTATGAAGCTCAGACTAGACGAAAAACATACGTGTCCTGATTGTCTGGACACTTTTGATACTCGAATGGTTCTTGTACAACACAGAAAGCAAGTGTGTGGTCTAGATCTGATGTATGAATGTAATAAATGTTACCGCAGATTCAAACACAACCACAATCTAAAGGCACATAGCGCAATGTGTTCAAAACAAAAAATAATAATATCGGAAAAGCCAACATGACACAAAAGCTCTTATAAATTATATAATATTATCTTATTTATTTATTTATTTTATAAATTTTTCAGATATAATGGTATTTTTATTTTATTTCTTAGTTTAAAACATTTAATCAATGGGCACTAATGTTCAATCAAGTGTAGTAATATGGTTTTTAAAAACAATTTAAATGCTACATTCAAGTTTTGGTTTATAAATCTGGTCGTACTTGGAATCCAGGACCATACGGTTCTTCTTTCAATGACGTTAAGCCATCAAGAGGTTCTGATGCATACCGAGTTGTTCTATAAAAAATTTGAACATACAAATAATATTTTTAAAAGAATTACACAGATATTGAAATTTACCTGGGTCCTGGAGTAGGAATTTTATCGTTCTTTAGATCATCAATGATAGATTCAACATCTTTAACATTCAAATCTTCCTATAAGTATACATGAATATTTTAAAATATAAATATGTTTCTAATCAAATGTAATATTAAGATAACCATGTTATAATTGCAATTAACATAAAAAATTAAATATTCTAATCAAATTTACTTACATAGTAATCATCGTTGACCTGCATCATTGGAGCATTGACACATGCGCCTAAACACTCTACTTCAGATAAAGTCCATAAGCCATCCTTACTAGTTTCTCCTACACCAATGTTAAGTTTCCTCTTAAGGCACGACATAACATCATCTGAGCCTCGTAACCAGCATGGAGTTGTTGTGCATACTTGAACGTGATACTTGCCAGTTGGTTTTCGCATAAACATTGTGTAAAAAGTAGCGACCTCGTAAACTCTCATTTTAGGTAAATCTAAAATATCAGCAACTTTATGCATAGCAGAGATGGGTAACCAGCCATGTTGTCTTTGAGCTAAATCTAATAGTGGTATCATGGCAGCCCGTTTGTGACCATCTGGGTATATCGCTAATATAGCATCAATTCTCTATAACACAAAATACAGTATATTAAATTATGTATATAAATAATTAACTACACAAAACAAAGAAGGAAAATATTACTTTTTTGTTTTCATCAGTGAATTCAAATTTGATATCAAGATTATTTTCCTTAGTATCCCTATGCTGAAAATATATAAAAATAATTTTAGAAATAAAAGATCAGCAATAATACAATATTAATAATAATTAGTACAGGCCAACAATATTGATAGTTAGATATGATATTGGCAATCAGTATTATTACTCTCAAATAACTTCCAAAAAGAATGTAAGGTCTACACATGCCAACAAAACCAAGATAGTCTCATGATGTAATTTTAGTTATCAATACCTACATGTGAAGTAAGTTAAATATTTATCTAAAACATTTTATGTTTATTACTCTAAAATAAAACTAATATATATAAAAAAAAACTCGAATATTAACTTTAGTACATAAAAATTACTACATTTTACTTGATCTGGTATGACAACGGAATAAAAATATATACTCATTACTGAAATAAATTTATATTGTAAGAAATATAAATTTATAAAATTTAACAAGAAAAAAAATTGGTACTTTAATTTGTTTTAAATGTTTGACAAAATTACCATTTATTATTAAAAAATAAATAAATGTTTTGAATTAATTAATAATATTAATTAAGAATACCTACAAAATATTTACTATCATGAATATTTATCAATTCTGACAGAAGCAACGAATTGTTTGTTTTTTTGTTACTGTAATATTAAAATATATGTTGTTCAGCCATCACTATAAATTATGTTTTTACAGCAATGAACGTAAACTAACTAAAAATTAAGTACATCATTCTTTTAGAATTTACATTTCTTGAAAATTATGAGATTGCTTCTGTAATTTATAACTACAGTCCAACCAGCAATTGGTTCTAAGGCAATACGTTTTAACATCGAGCCATGTAAATTAATTAAAAATTACACCCAGTAAAGGATATTAGAAGACAGTAGATTAATTATAAGATACGATCAAAGACATACTTATTACGAATTAGTTTATCGCAAACAAGCATTAAATACTCACATTGAACATTGTATCATGTCTGACGACAGTTGAAGTCTGCAAAGTTCTTGAATTTGATAACTATAAATGAAAAACGAAAAATGTAAAAATATGCGTGAGCGATGTGCATAGGAGGTATACAAAAATATAAATGCAGCACTTACCAGGCATTTTGCAATTTTGTTTAAGGACAACATTTTAGAAGACCGCCGAACAAAACGTCCAATTACTTAAAATGAAATTTTTCCTGAACGATTCAGCCGATTAAGGTAAAACTTGAAGAGCACAGCCACTATTCACTACCATGTACTTATCACAGAAGCGTTTATTTTTTTCTCTTTATCAGCTGTTTATTTTACTTGATAAAATATCAATTGATTACTGTTATCGAAGGAAAAAAAAAACATTAGAATTCTAATGTTCTTAATTACTTTTTTACTACCTAAGTAAATTAATCGAACATTTATACTTTGTTTACGTTGAAAATGTTTAAATTATAATTTTGTTTTAATATTTTTAGCATCATACTGAATCATGGATTCCAGTGGAAACTTAGAAAAGGTATCAAGTGAAAATATTAAATTATCAAAATGATTTAATTTAAGTTTGATTTTATGCTACTGCTCACTACTATATTTAGTGCTAATTTATATTATCCCTTATGATTATCTAAAAACTAAAATAAGTCATTTAAATACTACAAGAAGCTTGAATAAAAAAACTACTACTTTTGTAGTTGACAATATTTTTTATGTTAACATGGAAATATACAATTCAATTACTTACTCATTTATACATTTTCTATACCACTAAATTCTTGTTATCATTTAAATATTGATATATTCATAGGAACGACAAAATTTAGATTCACTTAAAGAACAAGTAGAACGTAGTAGTCAACTATCCGAGAAAATGGTCGATATTCTTACATCATTTGAAAGCAGGCTTGGCAGGCTTCAACAAACCATACTACCAATTTATAATGAAATGGAAAATTTACAACTTAAAAAAACAAGTATAATTAGGGTCAGAATTATTTTATTTCCTTGTGTATTAAGAATATTTATTTTTATTATAGATATTGAAAAAACTCTATTTGAATTGGATAGAGTAATAATGTTTCATGATGTTTGCCCAAGAGTTGAATCTATTATTTTGGGAAGACCAAATGGACCTGATGGGTTGAACGAGTTTTTAGATGCTATGGAAAGATTGCATGAAGCACAAAACTATTTTGAAAAAAATAATCCTCAAAGTGTTGAATTAGAAAATGTGGTATGTTGAAACTAATGGTTAATTTTTTTTTTTTTATTAAATTTGTTATTTATTAATTTATTTTAGTCATCATTGTTCAAGACTGGAGGAGATAGTATTCAAAGAGAGTTTAAAGAAATCCTTTTAAAACATAGCAGACATGTTCAACCTGCTATTTTACTTGATATTGTCACAAATGATGATGGTAAAGATTTAATTTGTAACTTATTTTGTTCAAAATAATTTCTTATTGTTTTTGTTTTCTTAGAATTAGTAACTGATGAATCATCATCTATTAGTTCTATAAGTCATTTTCCTGAAACTGTTTCTTCAGACCTTATTCGTTTAGCTGATTGGTTAATTAGCCAATCTCGTGATGAATACATGAATATGTACGCTAGAGTACGAGCTAATACACTTATGAAGTCAATGACTACATTAAAAGAATACCAGAAAACTGGAAGTGCTGGGAGCACTTGTATGGCTGCAGGACAAACTATGAGCTCGCCTTCAGTAGTATGTCTAAATCATGTATTTTATTATATAACAATAAATAGATGTAAATATTTTTCTTTTAATTCCAGAAATCTAAATTTCCTCATAAATCTGAGGTAACCGTTACAAGAAAAGCTTCAAAACGTATACAACATGTGTAAGTTTATTATAATGTTATAACTGTAATATTATATTGATTTTAAATTTTTTTCAGGTTTGAAAAAAAAGCCAATCGTATGCTAATGAAAGCATCCCAAACATTAGGCCAGTCAACCGGTTTGAATTTAGGAAACAGAAGACCTACACTTATTGGTAACTATTGATTATTGTTGATTTTTTTAAAAAGTAGATGAATAAAAAATACTCTAAATACTTCATTGATGTAGAAAATCGTGAAGATGTTGTTGATGAACAAGAAATGGAAAATTATCTCATATCAGTAATTGCTCTGCAAAAGCTTATGCAAGCAGAACTATCACTGATGGTTGGCATTATACCAATCAAGCATCACCATCAAGTATTTCAAATTATCATTCAAGAGAGCCTCTCTAATATTGTTCATGAAGGAGAGGTATTGATACATTTTTTAAGTTTCCTATTTAAGTATAGAAATCACCATTGTCTTATTACAAATAATCATTTACAAATTAATATTTTTAAATTGCAGAACATAGCAGCTAGAGCAAAAAGGTGTATACACAGAAAAGAATTTGCCAATTTATTTGTTATGTTTCCTATTTTAAAACATTTGACTGCTATGAAATCTGATTTTGAACGTACAATGGAAGGCTGTGATGCTACCATTAGAGGTCAATACTCAACAATTCTCAATATACTTCATTCCACAGTTAGTTGACCACCCTCTCACCATTCTAATTACCTTTATTTTATTTAAAGACTATTCAATATCAATTTATTAAATTAGGGTGTAAGAACACTAGATGAAATAGTTGAGAGTGTCAGGACTGACAATTCAATGGGATTACCTAGAGATGGTACTGTTTTTCAATTAACTAGTGATGTGCTAGTATTGATGGAACAACTACTCGACTATATGGACAGTGTAGGCCCTCTTCTAGCTCAAGTACCTTTGTATAACAATATGATTGCACATCATATCACTCCACCAGAAAAATACAAATATCTCTTAGGACTTTATATTAGTAAGAAATTATAAGATAGGCGGACAAATCATTCTTAGTTCCTTTAAGGTAACACTAACATATTTTTACAGAAAAAGTATTATCTCAATTGAATCTGATGCTTGTAAATCGAAGCGATTCTTACAGTGAACCAGGTGTTAAATATCTCTTTCGATTAAACAACTGTCATTATGTAATAAAATCGCTACAAAGATCTGCTTTGTTGGACATAGTTTCTTTGACTGAACAAGAATGTGAAAATACTTATCATGAGATGATCGCATCACACAAAAAATCTTATCAACAATGGTAATAGTATTTTTATTGTTATAACTTTTATTGTTGAAATTTAATTTTTAATTTTTATTTCAGTTGGAATAGAATACTAGGATTCATAGCCAATTTGGATGATGTTCAAGTTATTAATGGTAAACTGAAGGATAAGGATCGTAACATAATTAAAGAAAGATTTTCTGTAAGTTAATTTTATATACGTGAAAAATTATTTTTTGATTAATATATTACTTATTCAACTTGTGTACATTTAATTTTAACTAGGAGAAAAAATAGTGTTTATAAAATATAACTATTTTATTTTGTATATAATTATTATGTTAATGAATTTTATAAGACTGCAATGTTGAAAAACAAGTTTTTGAATTTATTATCTATATTATACTGTTATAATTCATTTAGGGTTTTAACAAAGAAATTGAAGAAATATTAAAGCTTCAAAGAGGTTACACAATACCAGATATTGAATTGCGCGAAGGATTGAAGCGTGACAACAAGGAATTTATTTTACCCAAATACAGTGCTTTCTATGACAAGTAATACATTATTACTCATTTCTAAATAATTTGACCATTTTTTAATTATTAATTATGACCATTAATGTCTTAATGATAATGATAATTTTTATTTGTGTTTATCTATGTATAAAATGATAACTAAGCAATTAAATTTCACTATTTTTCCTTCATAATCTCTCCAAGCAATCTTTTTCTTTTCAATGAACTTAAAATAATATGTTGAATGGATTAATCAAATGAAATAGTTAAAATGCAAACATTTTTTTTCCTGAATTATATTAATATATTGTGATTTTTAGATTTTCCCAGTCGTCGTTCACCAAGAACCCTGAAAAATATGTTAAGTATACACCAGCTCAAGTGTCAGCTATGCTTGATCGGTTCTTTGATGTTGCTGCTTGAAATTTGTATTTTCTAGTTATATTTTATAAACCTATTTTTATTATTTTTAATCATTCTCTACTACTAATATTATTAATTATTTATATATTTCCATTAGAAATTATATTGTACAGCATTGCGTAATAAGTATCAACCATGTATTTATTCAAACATCTTGAACAATTTTACTTTTAAGGTGTAATCATTTTATAGCAGACTGATCAAATTATCAAAATGCTCTCGTTTACAGTGATAATCTTAGCATAAATATATAATATTATGTTTGTTTATTTTTTTCAACCAATGTTATTGAAAGTTATGTATTTATCCCTGTTCAATTGTTATTTAAATTAAAACATATATTTTATAAATTTTATTTTTTATTTTTTTTATACATAAAAGTTCTTTATTATTATTTTCAGTCAATGTGTTCATAAAAGCCAAACAGTGAACATAAAAAAAAACAACTTTAAAATATGTGAAAAAGAAAATATTAGATTTGCATCTAAAACTAAAATGCACAGGTAATCTTTGTAAAGCTAATTTTTAGTTTAATATTTGATCACAGCTTTCAAAATTGACTATAATTTGTGTTATATTTTTTAAACTACTTAAATTAAATCCAGGTACTTCCAGATATTATTTATTAGGATGCTTATACGTAAACAAAATATTTATTCGGTTATTTTATTGGCAGATATTAATAAAATACAAAACAATCATCATTAATTGTTAATAATTAATAAATTCATTAATAATTAAATTTACTACTAAAAGTAATTAAGACTAGAATCTGTTTATTGACTAACAAAAAACTTATATAAAATGAAATAATTCTCAGTAGAATTTAGGCACAGTATATAAAATGTACTCAACAACAAATAAAATAGTCAAAATAGATGTTAAATTGGTTTATTCAAATTTTTTAACAACTGAAATAAAAATAAAGCATAAAATATGGTATACAATGATTTAATATGTTTTGTATCACATAATAATGTTGATATATAAATATATACTTTTATATTTGTTCAAAACTGAACATTTTTTCATCTGAAAATAACTGTAATTATAGCATAACGTAATATAAAATTTATAACAATCAAACTTAGATTATTTTTTTTATAAAATCTTACTTTAAGTAAATTCTATTTTTTGGTAACTGTATTAATGATTAAAGCACATGTTTTAATATCCCTGAACAATTATTTCATTTGAACACAATAATTTTTATTTGAAAAAGAGAACTAAAGTTATTCTGGTCTTTTCCCTTCACCACCGGCTATATCATAGACAGCAGTAGCCACTTCAAGTGCAAGTTTGTCTGCATTGATTTTAGTATCAGCTTCTGCATAAATTCTCACCACATTTTCAGTACCGGACGGCCTGTAAAATAAAATGTTGGAAACTATAAAATACATTATTAAGTGAATAACAAAATATGTATTTAAGAAATATATAAATACAATAAGTTAACCTAATCTAACCTACAGAACTTATTAAGAACTGTTTAATTTATAAAATTATTACAATATGAATATATCAAGGACTACCCAAATTTTGTAAAAACATTAGTTTTTTTTTCTTTGCACAAAGTTTTGTTAACCCCAATTTACTCTTTAACCTACCAATAGAATAATAATTTTACCATTGTTTAGAACCATTTAATTTACACATTAAAAATAAACCATGTTATAGTTTACCTGACAAAGGATCGACCCATTGGATACTTTGATACAATAGAATTTATTATTTCTTGAAGGCCTACTGGCTTGACACAAATTCTCTCTGCATCATCAGTTTCAAATGTATTTCTATCCTGTAATTTAAAATATTATATACGATTTATTATTGCTAAATAGATCAACTGTAATGTATTACTTTGACAATCACTTTTGCTAAACGATTAGGCAAATCTGAATAAGTGTTGTACCAATCACTTAAACTCCAACCTCGCTCACAAAGTACAGTCTCAACAATCAACATATCAGAATAAGCATCACCAACAGTTTCATTTGTCATATCCACTATACAAATCAATTTCTTTAATGCCAATGATTTTTTCCTTAAAAAAAAAATAACAATAAAAAGTATAACATTCCAAATCTAATATTAAAATTTTTTTATTTAAAAATAGTATAACATACTCATCCTTTTCAATGGCATATTGATTGCGAATGAGTTCACGTACTGCATCCTTAAATAATAAAGTGCCATGCCCATTTGCTTCAAAATAAATTCCAACATCATAGTCCTTAGCTTTATGATGAAGATATTTCACACCAGTTGGAACACATGCAACAGGTACTCTCTAAACACAAATTCAGTCTTAGAAAACTTAATCAAAATAATATAAATAATACAATTTCATAGTATTCATCGATTTCAATATTCATTAATAAATTACGATCTAACACTTAACACAATAGTACAGTGATAAACAATATGATGATTATGTGTATGTGTAATGTTAACAATTAAAAGATTCATACAGGATTAGAAAAGTGTTTTCAAAAATAAAGATAAACAAATAAAATATATACCAATTTATCAGTAACATATTTTGTGGAATTGCCGTTTGAATAAGCAGTTTGCACTAGGCCTACATTAATTTCAAGACCAGAAGCCGTGAATAAATCTTTTATATAACCAGTCACTATAATAAAATAATTAAATTAAAAAATTATAAAAAAAATCTTAATGTATGTAATTTTTTAATGCAATACCAAGGGTAGCAATTCGATCACCGTCCAATAAATAAAATGTATTGTTTTCGTCAATAAAGGAATAAATTATTCTATCTGCATCTCCATCCACGGACACATACTTAGCATGCGGTTTTATAGCCATTCCAGTTGGAGGACATTGGTTTGATTTGACATAATCTGCCCCACACTAAACATATGGTAAGTAGAATAGTGAATACATTATATTTTATTAAAACAATATAGCATTATACTTTGAAATTGAGCTTTTCTGTAGTTAATATGTCATCATTATGCATATTAATTATTAATGTTTCATCCAAAAATACCAGTGCATCCTTCATTTTTAAAGCACCTACTCCATTTGCACCATCAAATTCTATTATAGGACTATAGTTCTTAAAATCTGAACACTGAAAAACAATTGCTCTTGCATTGCCATCTATTAAATATTTACAAGTAACAAATATACAAACCATTTTACGTAGAGTTTTAAAACTATCAGTTAATTTAGTATAATAAGAATATTCATTTGGTTGACCGTACAAGCCATTGGTATTATAACATCTAATAAAAAAATGCAACATCGGTGTAGTAATTATACCAAAGTCCTCAAAATTACTTTTAAAAGCTTTAACACCATAAAGAACAGCATCCAACAACCTTTTGCTGGAATGTCTAAAAGCAAAAAATTGTTTCAATGATTTTAGTTCTCTAGAATGCATAGCCAGATAACTTATATACCTAGTATCACGACCGATAAATACACAAGGTGTAAATGATGAGCTTATAGCATATTTTTTGGCTATATTAATGAGTATAACACAAACATCTTGATCGCAAGGAGCATTTGCTAATTCAGTGGCCAATTCCTCCCACGAAGTATCCAACATTTCTCCTTGAGTGTCAATGAGTTTGACACCATTGTCATTTTGTGGATTATGTGAAGCTGTTATCATAAGACCTACTGCTGCTGACTTGAAATACATAGAACGCAGAGCGACCAACATGCCCATGCGATGCATGACATGATCAAGATGTTCTGAACTGAAAACAATTAGAATATTATAATTGCTTTAATTTCAGAATAAAGCTTTTTTATTCACCTGAAACGAATGCCCGACACACCATACTTGAAGACTTGGTTCCCTGGATTCGGATATAACTCTATGTTGGATGATTGTTTGACAACTTTCTCGATCCACTCATCCATTTCGTATTCACTTGAATAAAATCGCCCAAATTAATATTAAAACTGGAAAAGTAAAAATAGAAGACATATCATTAACAGGAGAATCATACACCGGAAACTATAATTCAAATCCTAACTTAACCAGCACCACATGAAATCAAAATATTCGAATCGTAATTTTCATCGAGCTAATACGTCCATCTTACAGGACGAAGCGTAAACGATTACCAAAGCGAGATGCAGAAAATACGGGCTATATTTCCGATTTCTTTTTTTTTTTTTTTAATCTACAAATGATATGATATTGCCCGGAGCGGTATATTATACGTAAAAATATAATAATAAAGTACCACGTATACCTGAGTGGGTACGCAACTTCCAGAACGCTTGACGTGATGGTTGGCAGTCACTGTAACGGGACAATACAATGCTTCGAGTCTTACCGTTCTCCGACCGGGTGAAAATCGTTGCGTAATAATCGAATTACGGAACGGAGAGGAAGGAACAAATCGAAAAATTACATTCTAATGTGGAGCGCGTTGGACCCGCCGTACTCGTTACTCTTATCTACGGCTGCGGCGGCGTGCGAGTTTCGCGTCCGCACGACGACTGTCCAGTGGACAGTGTCCACCGTGCGCCATGAAAAACGTGCTCGCGGTTTGCGAAAACGAACCGAAAGCCGTTCCGAGCACGACCGCACATGGACATTGTAAAATATCGTGTAATATGACAGACAATAATAAAACAATATCACTGGTATCAGATGAGCACGTGTCACACGGCCTACCACAGCTGCTGCGGGCGTACGGGTGAGGTGATCTTTCTTTCGTCACTTGTGGCCCGCCCGCACATGTCTTGTCGCTGTTATCAGCATTCGATGAACGCATATTACACCGATAACAGTGTTTACCGTTTCACGCGATGCCATGGCTTTCGGACGGATGCCGAGGTATTTAAAAAACGATCGAATTCAATTAACGTTCATCAACCCGGCAGAGCCAGTCGGTTAGAATCATTATGGATAATGCTTCGTGTCGGCAGTGGCGGGACAAAGGACTTTATTTGAGGCACGTGCCTTAATTTAAAAAGGTGGTGGGCATAGGTAGGCGCAAATCAGGGGGGCTTAGGGGCTTAGCCCTCCAAACTTAGCCGTATCCCGTCCAAAAATCCTGGGCATTACATTATATTTGAAACTGTTATATTTTGTGGCATAAATATTTTGTATGATGATGATAGTATGTTTGGTGTACATTTCTCAAGCCCCTTCAGGTAAAAAATTTAAATTGCACCTTTGGTGGTGGGTATCCCTGGTTTGGAAGTTTAATGTTTTTGAGCCGTGAAAGGGATTTCAAAACTGATTTTGAAGAGGCAATAATGAAACTTGGAAGATTATCTAGTGATTTAAAAAAAGCATTTTTGTTTAAATAAATAAACAAATTTTCTTTAAAAAAAATTAATCAATTTTTTTTGTGAATGGTGGGCCAGACAGTATAAATTATCGTGCCTTATTAGTGAATCAAATACGTTACACCACTGATCCGTGGACAATTATCTTTTAAGTGATTTCCTAATCAGAGAGAAGTCGATGTACGAAAATGACAGACGGTAAAACCCGTTCGATTTTATCCCTTAGAAACATTATCGTCAAAAAGTGTAAAATTCATATGAACTCGATCAAATCACACTGTAAAAATATCATGAAGTAATCCGTTTACCATAACTCTGTCAATGCAATTACTTAAAAAGTAATAGTTCGAGTGACGACAGTGGCGAATTAGGGAGCAGGCTTATAAAAGGCTTATGGCCTAGGGTGGCTTTTTTGGGAGGGCAGCTTTTTTTTATAGAATTAAGTGTTATTATTCACTTATTAGGTATATTTATTTTAATATATTTTTTTTTATATTTGTCATATAAACACGAATAAAAATAATTTTAAAAAGTTATAATAATATATTAATATGTACATTGTATGATGCGTACCTATAGGCTATAGTAAGAATATTCTTTCTTCTTCTTCTTCTTCTTCCTCGTAGTTGAAGGCCTTTAAAATCAAACTGACAAACATATGCCATGCTATCTCTCTCTATCTTCCGCTAGGACTCGCCAATCACCATCCGGTTCAACCCGCTCCACATCTGTTAACACTTGGTCTTCCCACCTCAGCCTTGGTCTACCAAGTGGTCTTACGCCTTCTGGAGAGCCTCATAGTACCTTGTGTATAAGGGCTCTTTCTTTTCACCATGCGTGGCCAGCCCAAAAGAGTCGCCTCTTTCTTATATCGTTGACTATATTTGGTTTCTGATATAGCTCCTTGATCTCCACATTATGTCTGATTCTCCACTCTTCTGTATTCCTTTCTATGCAAGGGCCAAAAATCGACCTCAAAATTTTTCGTTCAAATACTAAGAGGGTATTCTGTTGTATCTTATGAAACGTCCAAGTTTCGCATCCATACATCACCACTGGTCGAATAAGTGTTCTATACAGTTGTATCTTTAGGCTTTTAGACAACATTCTGGATTTAAACAGCTTGTTCAATCCAAAATAGCATTTATTTCCTGCATGTATTCTTGCTTTTATCTCCTCTTGTATTTCATTATTCTGAGTTAAAAGACTACATAGGTACTTGAACTTCTGCACTCTGTTAAATTTATATGCCCCTACTTCCAGATGAGTGTGTACATCTTCCGGCAGAAACGTCCACTGAGCTATCATATACTTTGTTTTTTCCACGTTTATTTCCAACCCAACTCTTTTTGCTGCCTCAATTAATATTTGAGTTTATTCAATGAGCTCTTCTCTATTTTCTACTAACAACACTAAATCATCTGCGTATGCCAGATGACCTAATTTTGTCTCACCTATTTGTACACCACTTTGTTCAAAGCTTGTGCTTTGAACCACTTTTTCCAGTGCTAAGTTAAATAAAATGGGCGATAATGCATCTCTTTGTCTTTATCCTGTTCTTACTTGGGCTGCTGTCGAGAAGGAGTTTCCTATCTGTACTTTTATTTCCGTATTCATGGCGCTTGCTTTTATAAGATTGACTAATTTTTGTGGGAGATCATATTGCTCTAGTATAGACATTAAAGATTCACGATGAATGCAGTCGTAGGCCGTTTTAAAATCAATAAATATCATGTGAATTTCTTTATTTAATTCCCTCATATTTTGTAATATTAGTCTTAATAAGAATATTTGGTCAATCGTCTATCTATTTTTCCTAAAGTCTGCCTGGTAGTCTCCCAGTAATTCCTCTGCCCATGGACTCACTCAGTCTAAAATACAGTTTGACAATATTTTATACATGACATTAAGTAGAGCTATATCTCTGTAATTACTGCACAATTGTCTGTCCCCGTTCTTGTAAATGGTACAAATAATTACTCTTTTCTTATCTTCCGGAATCACCTCCTTTTCCCAAATTTCCTTTACCTACAAATATATGTACTCAGTTAGTTAATTTTCCATGTTCTTTAACAGTTCCCCGGTAATTCCGTCTTCTCCAGAGGCTTTGGGGTTCTTTAAAAACCTTATTTGTTTATCTCCTTTTGTTGGGGCTGAGCAATTTGTTAGGTTTCTCGATGAATCATTAAATGGGAATGGATTTTCAGGTTCTGGGCAGTTTAAGAGCTCGCCAAAGTATCTAACCCACTTATCTGATATTTCATCATCAGTCGTAATTAATGTACCGCCTTCGTTTCTTAGAAATTTCTCAACTCGCTTGTAATTTCTACTCATAGCGCTTATCTTCTTGTATAAGTTACGAGTTTTGTGATTTGCATAATCATGATCTGCTTCTCATATTATATTTTGTACGTATTTTCTTTTCTCACATCTAAGTATATTACTTGTTTCCCTTTGCCTAGTCTTGTACTGTGTCAATTTTTCCTTATTATCCGTATCGTTTAGCCAATTATTCTTTGCGATCTTTCTCCTCTGTATAGCTTCCTCGCAGATTTTACTGAACAAAGGTTACTTTAGTCGGCGTTCTATACCTATCGTCTTTTCGGTTGTTTCTTGAATTACTCTCTTCAGATTTTTCCATCTTTCCTCTATTCCTTTATTTTCCTACCCTACTGGTTGGGATCTTATTTTTCTATCTATTCGTAAACATCACGAATAATAGGCTCATCAAGTTTTTGAACATCAAAACGCCCTTTAGGTCCTATTTTCTTTGAATTACGTGTCTTTTTGAGTGTAATTTTCAATTTACCCACCACTAATATATGATCTGTATCACATTCAGCTCTTCGTGCACCTTTAACGTCTATCACTGTGTTTGTAAATCTTGAGTTTACCAACACATGATCTATTTGATTGACATATAGTCCGTTAGTGGACCTTCACGTACCTTTATGAATATTTTTGTGTTTAAACATTGTGCTTTTTATTCTAAAGTTTCTTTCTGTGGCAAAAGCTACTAGTCTACATCCATTGTCATTCGATTCTTCATGTAACCTATGAATACCTATTATAGGTCTAAAGAAATTTTCTTTCCCAATTTTCGCGTTGAAATCTACTAGAATAATTTGAATGCAATTTGCTGGTATGTCATTCAAGACATTAAGTAATGAGTAAAATTCATCTTTCTCTACTTCCTCCTTTTCCTCCGTTGGAACATGTACATTTATAAATGCTATATTGAACCATCTGGCTGCTATCGTCAGCACAGTCATTTTAGGACTTATTACTTTAAAATCTTGTGTTGAGGAATGCTTTGTTTACAGCAAAACCGCTCCCTCCAAGTCGCCTATTATCACATGCTCCATAAAAGAGTGTAGGTAGTATTTTTTAATTGCATTGATCCAGTGTCACTCCATCTTAATTCTTGTAGTGCAACAATTCCAAATGTATACTTCTCCACTTCATCTACCAATGTTCTAAATGCGCCAAATTTAAATAAAGTTCAAGTTCAGTGATTATTATATATATTATTATTATTAATTTATTCTATAAAATGTATATGTGTTTTTTCTTAATTAACTTCGTGCCACTATACCGCCGTGCTAAATATAGTGCGTATATATATAATTTAATGTGTACATAGTGATGTTCAGTGCTCGACTTGGCAAAATTAAAGAAGGGGGACTCTATTTACTTTAAAAAAAAAGAACGTCCCCAAAACTAGCTGAGCGTTATGATTATAGCGTAATAATAGTAGGGGGGACGTTAAAATTTCTGAAAATTAGTTGGGGTACTCCGTCTCCCTGCGTCCCCCCTCAAGTTGATCACTGATGTTACATGTATATATGTATTTTCGGTGGAGTTGATATACGCCTAAATATACAAGTAGATGAATTCTATACTAATTTTTGTATTAAAATATATGCATTACAACACACTTTTTGCCCACCAAAATCTAAAATGTGCACCCTTAAAAATAAAACCGTGTACCTAATTTGTCATGACACAATGACCTATACAAGTATAAGCTATACTTTGCATTCATCATTTCCTCCATTATTTTATAAATTCAAATTAACAATTACATTTATTGTGCACTCCGAAAATAGCCACTGTAATCGTTCCATTCACGAACATTTATTTGTACACGAGACGTCACAAAGTAAAAATAATAATTATATATCATATAAAAAATTACATATTAATATTAATCAATAGTTTTATCTTGACGACAGGACAGTATTTAAGATTTCACCGCCCAGGGGCCACAACATATTTTCTCTTTCCTGAAGTTTAAAACCTAAAATAAGTGTCTCCAACTATTTATTAAAAAGCCACTCAGAATTAATTTTCCTCGTTTCAGTACACTATTACACAATATTTGTAATTAATATCAAATCCAAAATAATAATGATTTTATAGTATAACATTTATTTTTTATATTATTTTATTTATTCAAAAATAATTTTCCATTAAAAATGCAAATAAATTGATTTGATTTTATTTAGAATCACCGTAAAAATATTTTTAACCCTTTTTCCACACATATTATTTTTGTTATCAATATTAATTTTTTTTTACTATATTTACAAAAATCTCTATACTTCTTAGTTTTTTATTGTAGAATTCAATTAATTTAAATTTAATTGGGTTGAAATTTAAAATTCCATCGTTCATTGAAAAATCACACTTCTGAAATGTTTATAAACTTGTAATTAATATAATAATAGCATAAATGATTGAGATTAATTTTTTTAATAAAACAAATTATTTTACTATAAAACAATTAATTGTTTTATAAAAAAAATTCAATTAATATAAACCAGTCAGTTAAACGTTTTATTACAATATAGATATTCGAATTTAGGATCAACACCATAATCATAAGTCAACGATTATTTAAATGCGATTTCTATTCATAGCTTCTACCTTAATTTCTGCGACGTACAAATTTACTGATTAATCAATTTGATGAACATGATATCTTAAATTAAAAACAAAATTATTTGAGTCTATACTATTATATTAAAAAATTTTAAAAATTATTAGTTTCTATTGACTTCATTAAAAATAGTTCAACTGCAAGTAAAATTATTTAAAAATTAAAAAATTAAAATAAATTAAAATACAAACTTAATGTAAATACTTATTCAACTTAAATGAAAAATTAATATATTTTATTCAAAAATTAAATAACAAATATTCGTAAAATTATGTAATGTCTCATAAGTAAAATACGAGTACAAGAATATTTAAATATTACTTAGGTACAAATAAAAATGTTTCGTACATATTCTCTATATTTTATTGTACTGAATAATTAGTAGAAATAGCTAGAACAGTAATTACAAGTACATACAATCAACTCCCTAATACTGCTAACCATAAAAGTAAATGAAATAAACTCAAACATAACAAAATATAATTTAATTAAACACACTTTAGTCAGCATTCATTAAGTTAAAAATAATACAAATACTTGATTACTTAAATTTATTTTTCTTTGTAAGTTATTGCACTGAAAATGTTCATAAAATCTTTAACGCGGTAAAACGTGAGTCTTAAAATTAGGTTTTTGTTGAGATAATTTATCGTAGTATAGATAATCCAGGAATAACATAATTTTACGTGTTTTAACGTTTGTTTGAAATTACAATTTAAGAAAGGTTAGGTACCTTTTAGTTTTTACTATATATACTCGGGCATACAAATCTATTTTTTGATTCCATTCATAAAAGTTCTTTTCTAAATTTTAAATTTGATTAGTTTAATATACTGAATGACAATCGAACTAATGAATATTAATTAATAAATAATTTTATAAAAGAATAAAAAAGTTTAATTAATCTAAAAATCACTGTACTCGTATTGATCGTACTATTAATTTAATTCTCACATGTGTCATCTATCAATGTAGCCCTAAAAATTATAGTAATGTTAAAAATCAAAAAAGTTAAGAATATATACGAATACATACATGAATAATGAGAACCAAATCCAAAAATAATATTTTTAATATTTTCGTGATGCTTCAGATAAAAAAAAATAAATAAAATACTAATTAAAAAGTATTAAAAAAACACAAATTTAATTTAATTTCCTATATATTTTTATTTTTTAAATTATTTTAAATTTGTAAATTGATGATTTTCTTTCCATGAAATTAATAATATTGAAAGAAATAAACAGAATGTTTAGAAATTAAAATGGCTTTAAGTTAATCTTTGGTATTCAATTATTATTTTAGACCAATAAACTATATATAAATAATTATAGTTAACTGAAAAGTTTATAATAGTGTATTTGTTGTAAGTAAAATTAATACTAACCTTGAGAGACAGTAACATATTTTTTTTAAATTAAGTATAGTTATAATAAATACTATTCCCCTAACTTTTGGGACAAATTATTTTAAAATAAATTAACTTAAATAAATTATTAAAATAAATTAACAATATAGGTAATTCATTATTAAATAAATAATCAATATATTATAAGGTTTTGAAAACTTTAATGAATACCTATTTTTAATTAAAAAAATATATACATAATTTAAAATAACTTATGACTTATAATTTATAAATTATTGATGTGATAAAAAAAAAAATATAAAATCATTTTTCATTTCTAATTTTCATTATTTAAAAACAAATACTGAACTAACTAAAAACTTAAAATATTTCCATTGAAGTTTTTTAAAAATATTTTTTTTTAAATTAGTTAATTAGCTGATGACAAGTGAATATTTTTAAATATACCTAATCATCTAAATGCTGTGTTAGATACAATTATGTATTAGGATTAAATGCTTTTTTAATGTAATTTTTTGTGAAAACGCCTTTGGACATATACTACAATTGAATCTTTTTTGCCCTCCACATTCATGTCTTAAATGACGGTTTAAGTTTCTTTTAAATTTATATGTACGGGAACACATAACATTTGGGCAAATGAACATATCTTGATTATCTGAAAAAAAATAATCAGTATTATTATGTTGATTATATTAAGAGAATATTATTATACAAACAAAAAAATATCTAAGAATAGCAACTGTAGCAAATTGCATTTACTGCTATACATTCATATTATTAAATTGCATAATGTACCTATATTGAACACATTGGTAGAAATAAGTGGAGTATAACATGAAGATAGTTAATAAAACACACATTTTAATAAAAATTTAAATTAATATTTTTTTTTTAATTGACAATAAATTATTCAACATTAATTTTTAATGGCAAAACAATCGTAATTATACAAATACGAGGTAATTAAACAATTATTCTAATAATAATATGTGATATAACTGATTATACCTCATCAGTATTTAATAAATCATTTTTTTCAAAACAGTAATATAATAAAGTTAAACTATCAATTAATCTGGTAACCATTGGTGATTTTGAAGTTAAATATTCTTATTTATCTTTAAAAAAATATAATGAATTAGATATTTATCAACATTTTGAGATTTGATACAAATAAATAGATAGTTTAAGATTAAATTTATTAAAAATATTTTTAATTATATAGGTACATGTATAATAATTAAAATATTAGTAAAGATTAAATTATTGAAATATTAAACATTAAACATAAACATTAAAATATAAAATAATTTCATGTTTAGCATAAAAAAAATAAAAAAACAAATCTATTGTGTAAATGTAATAATTATATAAACAAAACTGATCATAATAAGATTTATTTATTTATTTATTTTATTATTAATGTAGAATTCAATAGGACATTATGTATACACGCACAATGTGTTTTCAGACTAAATTTCCGATAAAATAATTTACTGCAATAAGGACATTTAAATTGAAGACAAATACCACATTCAAATTTTAAATTATAATTCATGAGACATCTTCTTTTATAATGACGACCACATCCATTGGGACATAGATGACGTCTGTTCTTTAAAATGTTGTTGTGTAATACATCTGAAAATACAAAATTATCCATAAGTTGAATTTTTATATCATAAAGTAATATAACTTATTAGTATACATGAAGCACAAATTCAAATTTTTTTGGAGACTATACAAACTGTACTTACAAAAAAGATAATGTATGATATCTACGTGCAATACGAAACACAAAATAGTACAAATATAGAAGGCTATGAAGTACACTCGAGTCAAATAGTTTTTATATACATCTATGGGTATTTTTCACTAATAATCTATTTCACATTGCATAATTAATGATACAAATAATTTAATATAAAAATCTCTGTAATGATTTAAAATATTGATACATTATTCTATTTTAAATGTGTCTTTATATTAGTTTATACATAAAGTAAGTATATACAGAAACAAACTGTTATAATAACAAAAATATAAAAATTATTTTTCATTTATAATTTTAATTATTTGAAAACAAATACTCAAATGAAATTGATTTCATTCAATATAATTATGTATTAGAGCCAAATGATTTTGTAATGTAGTTTTCCGTGTAAATGCCTTTGGACATATACTACAATTGAATTTTTTTTGACCTCCACATTCAAGTCTTAAATGCCTGTATAAGCTTGTTTTAAGTTTATATGTACGGTGACAAATAATATTTGGGCAAATAAAAATTTCTTGATTTTCTGAAAAAAAAAAAAATAAATGTTATCAGTAGGTACTTGTAAGCATGATATGACTATTAATTTGAAAATAGTAAGAGAATATTATTTTTTAAACAAAAAATATATCTTTGAATAGCAACTGTATTTGCATATACTGCTATACATTCATAGAGTTAAATTTCATAATATACTTATATTGAACCCATTGATAGAAATAAGTTTAGTATAACAAGAAGATAGTTAATAAAACACACATTTTAATAAGAATTAAAATCAAAATATTTCATTATGAGAAGCAATAAATTATTCAACATTAATTATTAATGGCAAAATAATCATATTATAAGAATAATAGGTAATTAAACATTAATTCTAATAATAATATGTGAAATAAATGATTATAACTCGTCAGTTTTTATTAAATAATTATTTCAGAACAGTAATATAAAAAATTTAAACTATAAATTAATCTGGTAACCGTTGGTGATTTTGAAGTTAAACATTCTTATTTATCTTTAAATAAGTATTATTCATTATTTATTAAGATTTGATATATAGGTACCTATAAAAAGATAATTTAAGATTACAATTATAATAAATATTTATTTTTAATATGCATTTATGAACACATGAATACAAATTTCAAACAAATATAATAAAACTATAGTGAAATTGTATTTCCATTTACACTTAAACATTGGACTATAGTTTACTAGATCGTCATTTCTTTAATTAATATTATGTATGTCTTATAAATTATATTTGTTATTATTATTATTTACGAATATTAAAGTAAAATTATTATTATATTAAATTAAACAAAATATTTTAAAAATGTTGAAGTACAATTAAAACATTAATATATAAAATAATTTCATGTTAGATATATATTAGAAAAAAAAAAAAACAAAAATGTAATAATTATATAAATAAATCGTATTATGATAATTTTTGTTTATATAATTATTATATTTATACTATTTTATTTATTTGTTTTTTATATTTTTCATATTTTTTCTATTTTTTGTATTTTAATAAATTCCAAAGAATACAATTTTTGTAGGAAATACACCTTGATAATATTTAATTATGAGAATAAATTTAATAAATTTCCTATTGGATTCCACATTATAAATTAAATTTATAATGTGGAACTCAATAGGACTTTATGTATACACGCACAATGTGTTTTCAGACTAGATTTCTGACTAAAGAATTTACTGCAATAAGGACATTTAAATTGAGGATAAACACCACATTCATATTTTAAATGATAATTCATGTGACCTATCCTTTTATAATGACGACCACAGCCATTGCGACATAGATGACGGCCGCTCCTCAAAATATTATTGAGTAATACATCTGAAAATATAAAATTATCCACAAGTTGAATTTTTATATCATAAAATAATAAGATTTATCTGTGTAGATTTAGGGCGAATTCAAATTTTTTTGGAGACCATGCAAATTATACTTCCGTAAAATGTAATATAAGATAACTATATGCATTACGAAACAAAAAATAGTTAAAATTTAGAGAGAGCTATGAAATACGGTTGAGTCAAATAGTCTATAAATACATCTATGGATATTTTTCACTAATAATCTACTTCTCATTGAATAGTTGACATACAAAAAAAAAATTAATCATTAAAAGAGTAAGGATTTTAAAGCAATAAAAAAAAACACCGAATGAAAAGAAGAAAAAAGCTGTAAAACTCTTCCAAAAAAGCTTAAAAAAAGACATTAAAAATGGGTTTTTTAAAAAAAAAGAACTGAATCATTTTCTCATTTTGTAAATTACAATACGGAGTTACAACGAAAACTAAACTATAAATCTGAGTAGATAATTTTCAGAGATAGAGCATATTTTTGTGTTCATTGTTGTTTCAAGATAAATTAATGTACTATGTATTATATGGTACATGATAAACTGAACACTGGGAGAAAGGTTGTCAAGAAATGATTAAGCAAGTTATGGATTATATTATATATCATTATATAATATAAAAATAAATATTAACATTTCAAATACGTATATTTGGAAATCATTTTTCCTTAAATCAATTTTTTAAAAGTTTATCAGTAATAGTTAATGTACCTATCCTATTTACGTTTAAAAGATATAACTATACATCGTACCTCCATGCTACACAACGAAAATATAAGACAATTATCGACTATTTTATACAGTACAATAGTACATTATAATTGTTTTTTTCTAATGATAAAATGTAAAATATTTGTCATAACTGACATTGAGTTATCTATGCTCAACATTATTTACTTTTGACTAATCATGCAAAAATTGTATTGAGTGTATAAAAAAAATTTCTTAACGACAAAAAAATAATTCAAGTTATCGAGAATCGACAACAATAACTATAAATACTTTCCATTCAAATATTATAATTTATTCCTACACCGTGCACTTTTTAATAGCTAGTACGTTTTAAAAACATGTATCGAAACCTTTTTCAAACTACAAAATAGTCGGTATATATTTTATAAAACGAATTATTATTAAAGTAACAAAATCTGCAGTTAACACATATATATTATCGTGTAATTTTTTTGTCGTTGAATAAATGATACAAACAATTTAATATAAAAGTCTCTGTAATAATCTAAAATATTTATACAGTATTATATTTTAAATTTGTCTTTATATTAGTTTATACATGTAAGTAATAAATATGTATTAAATACATCTGTTATAATATCAAAAATATAAAATCATTTTTCATTTCTAATTTGAATTATTTGAAAACAAATACTCGATTAAAATTGATTTCATTCAATACAATTATGTATTTGGGCCAAATGCTTTTTTAATATAACTTTTTGTGAAAATGCTTTCGGACATATACTACAATTGAATCCTTTTTGCCCTCCACACTCAAGTTTTAAATGACTGCTTAAGTTTCTTTTAAATTTATAAGTACGGCAACACATATTATTTGGGCAAATGAACCTATCTTGATTTTCTGAAAAAAAAAAAAAAATCATCAGTATATGTAAGCATAATATAATTATATTATTATTTTGTAAACAAAAAGTAGATCTAAGAATAGCAACTGTATTCGCATACACTGTGCATTCATATTATTGAATTTCATAATGTACCTATATTGAACACATGAATAGAAATATGTTTAGTGTAACAAGAAGATAGTTAATAAATCACACATTTTAATAAGAATTTAAATCAATATTTTTCCTATTGAGAAACTATAATAATTATAAATAATAGATAATTAAACATTTATTCTAATAAAATATGTAATATATCTAATTATAACACGTCAGTATTTAGTAAATTATTTTTTCAAAACAGTAATATAAAAAAGTTAAACTATAAAATAATCTGGTAACTATTCGTGATTTTGAAGTTAAACATTCATATTATCTTTAAAAAATTATTATGCATTATTTATCAAGATTTGATACATATACAAATGGATAATTTAAGATTAAATTAATTAAACATATTTTTTATTATGTAGGTTCATGTATATTAATTAAAATATTAGTTACAATTAAATTATTAAAAGATATTCTTTTTTAATTTCACACTATTTAGTTCTTTTACAGCATTCTATCAACATTTTTTCCTTTATGCAACTTCTAATTACATACCTATCTTAAAATAAACCATTAAAAATTATTTTTAATTTAAGATTGCACTAATGAACAAAATAATACAAATTTAAAACAAATATAATAAAATTATAGTGAGATTGTATTTAAATTTATACTAAAACATTGGACTAAAGTTGCTAGATCATTATTTATTTATTTAATGTGTCTTACAAATTATATTTGTAATTATTTTTATTTATGAATATTGCAGTAAAATAAAGACTACATTATATTTCAGTGTTTAAATTTTTATGTACAATTAAAACTATAAAATATAAAAGAATTTGATGGTTACCATATTTTAAATAACTTATGACTTATAATTTATAAAAAATGTGTTGTATAGAAAAATGAATATAATATACTTGACAATACACCAAAAAAATTATAAATTTAATTTATAATATGAAATTCAATAGGACTTTATGTTTACACACAATATGAGTTTTCAGACTAGATTTTTGATTAAATGATTTACTCCAATAAGGACATTTCAATTGAGGACAAACATCACATTCAAATTTTAAATAATAATTCATGTGTCATGTCCTATAATAATGACGACCACAACCGTCAGGACATAAATGACGTCTCTTTCATTCGGTGTCATCAGTTTATTCAAGTTATCAAAAATCGACAGCAATAACAATAAATACTTTCCATTAAAATATTACAATTAATTATAAGTATAATTATTAATATGTGTCGATACCTTTTTCAAAACATAAAATAATCGGTATATTTTACAAAATGAATCATTAAAAAGTTAATGAATTATAAAAATGACATTGAACATTATATATATATAATATAATACGCTTAAATAAAACATTAAATTTATAGACATAATCGATCATAAGTATCAAAAAATAACTTTATGTACACCTCTAATATGGGTTTTTAGATTAGACTTCTGATTAGTCATTTTAAAACAATATGGACATTTGAATCGAGCTTGAACACCACATTCAAATTTCAAATGGTGGTTCATGTGACATCTCCTTTTATAATGACGACCACATCCATTGGGACATAGATGACGTCTGTTCCTCAAAATATTGTTGTGTAATATATCTGAAAATTCAAAATTATCCATAACTTGAATTATCATATCACAAAATAATATGATTTATTTGTATAGATGTAGCGCAAATTCAAATTTTTCTATGGGTAAAAACATGTATTGAAACCTTTTTCAATAAATAAAATAGTTACTTTATATTATAAAATGAATTATTATCAATGTAATTAAGTCTGCAGTACTTTACATATATATATTTCCAGACAATTTAATATAAAATCTCTATAATGATCTAAAATATTAGTATATTATTTTATATTAAATTTGTCTTTATATTAGTTTATACATGTAGTAAGTATGTACTTGATACAATTAATGTAATAAAAAATATATAAAACCAGTTTTAATTTTAGTTTTAATTATTTGAAAACAAAGACTCAATTAATATTGATTGCGTTCAAAATAATTATGTTTTACGGCTAAATGATTCTGTAATGTAACTTTTTGTGAAAATGCCTTTGTACATATACTACAATTGAAATTTTTTTGCCCTCCACATTCAAGTCTTAAATGCCTCTTTAAGCTTCTTTTAAATTTATATGTACGGTGACACATAACATTCGGGCAAATGAATATATTTTGATTTTCTGAAAAAAAAAAAAAAAAAAACTTCATCAATATTTGTAAGCAAGATATGACTATTATGTTGAAAATAGTAAGAGAATATTATTTTGTAAACAAAAAGTAAATCTAAGAATAACAACTGTAGTTGCATACACTGCTTATACATTCACATTATTATATTTCATAATGTACCTATATTGAACGCATTGATAAAAAAAGTGGAGTATAACATGAAGATAGTTAATAAAACACACATTTTAATTAGAATTAAAATCAAAATTTTACTTAAGGAGAAACAATAAATTATTCAATATTAATGGTTAATGGCGAAACTATCATAATTATAAGAATAAAGGTAATTAAACAATTATTTTGATCAAAATATATGTTATATACATTTTCAAAACAGTAATATAAATAAATTAAATTATAAATTAATTTTATAAACGTTGGTGATTGTGAAGTTATAAAATCTTTATCTTTAAAAAATAAATTACAATTAAATTATTAAAAGATATTTTTTTTCATTTTACACTATTTAGTTATTTTATAACATTATATCAAAATTGTATACTTTATGCAACTTCTACTTAGATACCTTAAAATAAACAATTAAAAATTATTTTAATTTAAGATTGCGCGAATAAACAAAATAATACAAATTTAAAAAAAAATATAATACAATTAAAGTGAGATCGTATTTAAATTTATACTAAAACATTGGACTAAAGTTACTAGATCATTATTTATTTATTTTATGTATGTCTTACAAATTATATTTGTAATTATTATTATTTATGAATATTACAGTAAAATTAGGACTATATTACATTTCACAAATAGTGTTTAAATTTTTATGTACAATTAAAACTATAAAATATAAAAGAATTTGATGGTTACCATATTTTAAATAACTTATGACTTATAATTAATAAAAAATGTGTTATATAGAAAACGAATATGAAAAACTTGACAATACACCAAAAAAATTATAAATTTAATTTATAATGTGGAATTCAATAGGACTTTATGTATACACACAATATGGGTTTTCAGACTAGATTTCTGACTAAATAATTTACTGCAATAAGGACATTTAAATTGAGGACAAATACCACATTCAAATTTTAAATGATAATTCATGTGACATCTTCTTTTATAATGACGACCACATCCATTGGGACATAGATGACGTCTGTTCTTTAAAATGTTGTTGTGTAATACATCTGAAAATACAAAATTATTCATAAGTTGAATTTTTATATCATAAAGTAATATGATTTATTAGTATACATGAAGCACAAATTCAAATTTTTTTGGAGACTATACAAACTGTACTTACAAAAAAGATAATGTATGATATCTACATGCAATACGAAATACAAAATAGTACAAATATAGAAGGCTATGAAGTACACTCGAGTCAAATAGTTTTTATATACATCTATGGGTATTTTTCACTAATAATCTACTTCTCATTGAATATTTGACATACAAAAAAAAAAAAAAAAATGAAAAAAAGAAATAAAGTTGTAAAATTCTTCCAAAAAAGCTTAAAAAAAGACATTAAAAATGGGTTTAAAAAAAAAAAGAAATAAATCACTATACGGTGTTACAACAAAAACTTAACTGTAATTCTGAGTAGAAAATTTTCAGAGGAAGAGCATATTTTTGTATTTATTGTCGTTTCAAGATAAATTAATGTATAATATATAGAACATGGAACATGATTAACTGAACAATAGGAGAAAGGTTGTCAAGAAATAATTGAACAAGTTTTGGAACAAAATATTTCAATAAATAATATATAAATAAACATTAACATTTCAAATACGTTTATTGAGAAATCATTTTTCCTTAAATCAAATTTTTTTAAAAGATTATCAGCAATTGTTAATGTATCCAATTTACGTTTAGGAGATATAACTACATATCTTACTTATGGATGCTACACATCCAAAATATACGATAATTATCAACATTTTATACAGTACAATAGTACATTATGATTGATTCTTCTAATGATAAAATGTAAGATATTTGTTGTTAACGACATTGAGTTATCTATGTTCAACAATTTTTACATTTGACTAATCACGCAAAAATTGCATTGAGTGTATAGAAATTTCTTAACGATAAGAAAATAATACAAGTTATCGACAATCGACAACAATAACAATAAATACTTTTCATTTAAATATTATAATTTATTCCTACATCATGCACTTTTTAATAGCTAATACATTTTAAAAACATGTATCGAAAACCTTATTCAAAATATAAAACAGTTGGTATATTATATAAAATGAAATGAATTATTATAAAAGTAATAAATATTAAAATTACTATGCTATGTTGTTACATACTAATGAGAACAATATAACAAATGAACAATATTTTTTATATTATAAAATTACATTGAACATTATATATATAAGATAATACGCTTAAATAAAATATTAATTTTATTGACATAATCAATTATAAGTATCAAAAAATAACTTTATGTACAACTCCAATATGGGTTTTCAGATTAGACTTCTGATTAGTCATTTTACAACAATATGGACATTTGAATCGAGGTTGAACACCACATTCAAATTTCAAATGGTGGTTCATGTGACATCTCCATTTATAATGTCGACCACATCCATTGGGACATAGATGACGTCTGTTCCTCAAACTATTGTTGTGTAATATATCTGAAAATTCAAAATTATCCATAACTTGAATTATCATATCACAAAATAATATGATTTATTTGTATAAATGTGGCTTAAATTGAAATTTTTTTGGAAACTACACAAAATGTACTTACGAAAAAGTTAATGTAAGATACCTACGTGCATTACAAAACACAAAATAGTACAAATCTAGAAGGCTATGAAATTCACTTAAGGCACATAGTCTTTAATTACGTTAATGGGTAAAAACATGTATCAAAACTTCTTTCAATAAATAAAATAGTCGCTTTATTTTATAAAATGAATTATTATAAAAGTATATTAAGTTTTAAGTACTTTGCATATATATATTTTTGTGTAATTTATTAGTCTTTGAATAAATAATACAAAAAATTTAATATAAAAATTTCTGTAATGATCTAAAATATTGATATACTATTCTATATTAAATTTGTTTTTATATAAGTTTATACATGTAATAAGTATGCACTTAATATAACTGTTGTAATAAAAAAATATATAACATTTTTCATTTATAATTTTAACTATTTGAAAACAAATACTCAATTAATATTGATTGTGTTCAATATAATTATGTTTTAAGGCTAAATGATTTTTTAATGTAACTTTTTGTGAAAATGCTTTCGGACATATACTACAATTGAATCTTTTTTGCCCTCCACACTCAAGTTTTAAATGACTGCTTAAATTTCTTTTAAATTTATAAGTACGACGACACATATTATTTGGGCAAATGAACATATCTTGATTTTCTGAAAAAAAAAAAAATTCATCAGTATATGTAAGCATAATATAATTATTATTTTGATTATGTTAAGATAATATTATTTTGTAAAAAAAAAAGTAGATCTAAGAATAGCAACTGTAATTGCATACACTGCTATATATCCATATTATTATATTTCATAATGTACCTATATTGAACAAGGATAGAAATAAGTGTTGTATAACATAAAGATAGTTAATAAAACACACATTTTAATAAGAATTAAAACAAATATTTTTTTATTAAGAAACAATAAATTATTCTACAATAATTATTAATGGCAAAACAATAAAAATTATAAATAATAGGTAATTAAACAATTATTCTAATCAAAATATATGATATACCTGATTATAACTCTATAGTATTTAGTAAATATTTTCAAAACCGTAATATGAATAACTTAAACTAAAAATTAATTTGGTAACTGTTGGTGATTTTGAAATTATATAGACGGATTTATCTTTAAAAAAATATTATACATTATTTATCAAGATTTTATATATATAAATAAAGAATTTAAGATTAAATGAACTAAAGATTTTAATTTTATTAATCTATTATTATTTTAATTAATTAAAATGTTTAATGTATATTAATTAAAAATTTATTACAAATAAATTATAGAAGATATTTATTTTTTTAATATATACTATTTAGTTCTTTTACAGCTTTCTATCAAAATGTTATACTTTAAGAAGCTTTTACTTAGATATCTTAAAATAAATAGTTAAAATTACAGTAAAATTAAGACTATAAAACATTTCACAGTGTTAAAATTTTTAAGTACAATTAAAACTATAAAATATAAAAGAATTTGATGGTTACCATATTTTAAATAACTTATGACTTATAATTTATAAAAAAATGTGTTGTATAGAAAAATGAATATGAAATACTTAACAATACACAAAAAAAATTATAAATTTAATTTACAATGTGGAATTCAATAGGACTTTATGAATATACACACAATGTTTTTTCATAGTAGATTTCTGACTAAATAATTTACTGCAATAAGGACATTTAAATTGAGGTGAAACACCACATTCATATTTTAAATGATAATTCATGTGACCTATCCTTTTATAATGACGACCACAGTCATTGGGACATAGATGACGGCTGTTTCTCAAAATATTGTTGAGTAATACATCTGAAAATTCAAAATAATTCATTATATCATTAAAATAATATGATTTATTTGTATAAATGTACCCTAAATTCAAATTTTTAAGGAGACTATACAAATTATACTTACATTAAATGTAAAGTAAGATACCTACGTACATTACGAAACACAAAACAATAAAAATCTAGAGGGCTATGAAATACACTAGAGTCAAATCGTCTTTAAATACATCTATGGATATTTTTCACTAATTATCAATTTCACATTGTATAATTCACACACACACAAACGAAAAAAAAAAGAAAAGATTTATCATTAAATGAATAAGGATTTTAAAGCAATAAAAATGAAAAGAAAAGAAAAAAAAAAGAAGAATTAAAGCTGTAAATCTTCCAAAAAAGCTTAAAAAAAAGCTTTGAAAATGGGTTTTAAGAAAAATAAATCAATTATTTTCGGCATTTTTAAATTACTATACATTATAACATACATTATATTAAAATATAAATAATTTTATGGTAATTGCTTTTGGAAGAAATTCATACAATTTTTATGGATATTCTTTAATATATTTATAAGTATTTTGATAACACTACTTTATGCTTAAAGTAGCATGTTATTACTTTTTCAGATAGAACACACATTAGAATATTTGACACAATAAGTTTTCTTTTTACAAAGAGTTTGAGAATGACATCTGCATGAGTTTGCATTGAAGTTTATAATTAATAAATATTTAGAAATAATCAATTTGTAAATTAAAATATTAATTTAATTTAATTAATAAAATTTTTTTATACATAACATTTTATTGAACAGTTAATAAACAATTATAAGATTAATAAGACTTATAGAAAAGTAAAAAAAAAAGTTTGTCTTTACAGTTATATTTAATAATTAAGTTACTAATAAAATGTTAATTACTTCAAATAAGGAAATTTGAAGAAACATGTACAATTTGCTTTAAATATAATTTTTTTAAATTATTAGTAGAAAAGAAACTTACATTTATTGACACAAAAATGTAATAAATATGTCATACCACTTTATAAATTAAATTAGAAAATAAATAAATTTACAAATTACAAAATATGGATTATGTATTGGTTAATCATAGATTGATGTAGTGACATAAAGATGGCTAAAAAAAGGTAATAAAATTGATAGTTATCTTAATAAATAATAACTGAAAATCCACACAATTTATATAATTAGCTTTTATTTTACAAAAATATTGCATAATAATTTCCTTAGATAAAAGTTTTTGTTGAATTAAATTCTTAATATAAGAAATCCATGTCAGTAAGAGTGCCTTTGATGGATGGATATTTATCAAGTTCATTTCATGCCAGAGATAAATAAAATGTAATCCCATTAATGTAAATATTTAAATTTTACAAGATTGTATTTGTTTTATACAAGCCAATATATTAATTATTTTGAATAGCTGAGATAACTGAATGGTCACAAGTCTCCACGTTCATAAAACACATGTCGTTATAAGTTACTAATATACTTATATTATCTACTAAAATTGTTAATACAGAAGTAACAAATAGTTTTGATCGTTTGATATTTAAATTTTAAATTTTGAAAAAATATTTCAATAAGATTAATCAAATTACTTTTGAGTTATCAATACATATCATAATTTTTTTCCACATTTATTGAAAGATTTTTGATAATGAACTACATTAATTTGGTATAAATGTAACGCATTTACAATTTTAAACGATCCTAATTTCTCATATATAGTACATGGCAATGATATTAATGAAATGTTGTATTGTTTTTTTGTGGACTTCAAACAGTAATTATACAATACTATAAAAAATGAATTAAGTTAAAATTTAATAAATTATTATTAAATATGACTTAAGATTTGAATTCTGAAACATTTTTTGTTGTAGAAGAATTATTTACTAACATTATATGTAAAACATAAATATCACCTTAGGAATTTTTTCTTCCTTTATGCTTCACCATATTTATTGGAGTATAACATTTTTTCGTTAGCATATAAAGCTGTTAACAATAATAAAATGCTCATGAAATGTATACAAATATAGTAGCTATTCAAAGTATTTAACTAAAAAAAAAAATTAAACATAGAAAATGGCAAATACTATGATATAAATGATAACAAATAAAAGTAATGATTTAATAACACCTTCTATGATTTATGATTAAAGAGCGGATTTTTAGGTTCTTAAAAGCTTAAAATATGCTTATATACTCAAAAAATCTCTAAAATAATTTCTAAATATTCCTTAAACTTAAAAATATGCAGATAATATAATATGATGCTAATATGCTCTAAAAAAACGTTAAAATATTCTCTAAATATTCCTTAAACTTGTAAATACACAATATGATTTTTTTTTTTTTTTAAGTAGTTCAATTAAAACATTAAACTACTGTTATGGGCCATTCCTTTGGCAACAAGTAAAATATTTAATTATAAAAATGTAAAACAGTTCATACAGTTCATAGGAGTATAAATATAATAAAATTAAATATAAATAACAAAATAGTTAAATAAAAACAATGAACAACTTGTATGCATCATTCCTTGGTAAAAGATAAATTATTTAAATGGAGAAAATGGATAACAGTTCCATACATAGTAATATAAATATAACAATCACATTTTTTTTCCTAGAAAAATCACAACTCGAGAAATTAATAAAATATGCTTTTTTATGAATAATAATTGAATATATTAAAAAATATGAAAAATAAGCTAAATATTTTCTTATATCCAAAATATGCTAAAATATGCAAAATAAATGTTTTCTTATGAACTCTATGATTGATAAATCGTCCAAATTTTTTGTCCTCGTAAATCTGCAGAAAGCCAATAAAAATATATACAAACCTAAAGATCCGCTTTTTACTTATGATGATCATTTCAATGAATTATTACTTTAGATACACTCAATTTATTAATTAGGATTGAATTAATTCAGACATTTTTGAATTAAACAGATATAAAAAAATTATAACTATCTAGTTATTGTAATATAATATTAAATTTGATTTAACTTTCAAAAGTTGATACTAACTCGAAATTGAGCTTCTCTTTCAGCATTGGGTTTCTTCAGAACTACCAATAGTGATGCATTTCAAAGACTTCTACTTTATGTAATTATATTGTCCTTTTGAAGTTTTGATACTAGTTTATTAATCGTTTAATGGTTAGGATGTGTACCCTAAATAGGTAAACTCACCCTTGGAGTTGGTGTTAGAGTTCTCCTACATCTACTGTAGTAAGCTGATCGGAATTTTCTGGTAAATCAATTTCACTTCCCTTTGGCTCATCGACCCTAAATTATTTATTTATATTTACCTCACACTAACTACGTATTTACCAGAAAAGAAATAACAATAATAATAGTAAATAAATAATATTTAATGGCAAGCAAACACAAAAAAAAAAAAAAATTTAACTTACAACACCTCAAATTTAGTTATTAATTCAAATAAATTTTAGTTTGTTCGGAAATATGTTCTCATTTGAACAGATTTCTTCCTTAATGGAATGTTCTGCTATTGATCTGTTTAGTCCCTCGTGAATTAAAGTTCTGTGTCCCGAAACTCCTCGCACAAGAACCACTATACTGATAGTGGGTTTCATTTATTGTTTATAAGTAACGTACCTATCATGTTACGTGCCGGCAACTCGCGGCAACCATGTGAGAGCGTGTCGATATCAGCACAGAACAATATATCAGTGATATCAGTTAATCGCTTGATTGTGCGCGTCCATGATGAAAACAAAAACTCGGGGAACCGGGCAAGATAGTTATGAAGTCAGCGATTCCCAGTGGTGATGGCATAGGCACATTAAACTAGGAGGTATAAGAGGATCTTTAGCTCCCAGTACCTCAATTCAAACCTAAGTTCAAATTTAGCACCCCTGGTTATTTTTTAGATCATTCTATAATAACTACAGTAAAATACCATACATTTTATTTTACAGAAATTTCAGCATCTCAATATTATAAATCTAGTTGCACTTATGGGTGACGATTGTGGCTACTCTCCGTCGGATGTGGCACGTCCAAATATTTACCGAGTAAAAAAAATTATCCGACTCCGTGTTATACACGTATTATTATTGTTTTCAACAGTACCTTTTATTTTTACAATGTTTCTCAAGCTGGGGGGCGAGCCAAAATGTCCAGGGGGGGGGGGGAGGTTAAAATATTGAAAAAAAAAACACGAAAAATGAAAACGTTGCTGTTTTCTATTCTGTGCCTTGCCGCTGTGTTGGTCGATTTTTTTAAGCAAATAAATTCGTTTAATAAAAAAATAACTTCATTGAAGTTGTATTCTTATTAATCCAATAGCCAACGTTTAAGCAGGGACTGGTACCAGGGGCGTAATTACGGGGGGGATATGGGGGATAGATCCCCCCACGAGCTGTATTTATATATTGTCTTAAACCTACAAATAGCTCAAATACAAACTTATAAATTATTATGAAACTAAAAAAAAAAAGGGTTCATAACAATGATTTTCATAAATATTTTGAAAAACTTACAAAAAGGTCAAATAAAATGGATTTTGAAATTACCATCCCTAGAAAAGTTAAACGACAAAAACCTTGATTAAATTATTTTCCAAATGACCCTTAACATATTTTTAAAATTAGTATATTCCTTCCTTTTGTAAAAATTTCGTTCAACAGTTAAAAGACTGATTTTTAAACCATAAAAATATTATTAATTATTATTACAATAAATTATATAAAGTCAATAAAATCGCAACTTAATTGATTTTGTATAGACCCGACGATGAATTTTTAATTTGAAACCAATCGTAATTTACAAACATAATAATACTCTAGGCCAGGGGTGGCCAGCGAGAAGAGACTCGAGAGCCACCAAATATATTAATAATAAATACAGAAGCGCCAAAATGTAAAAAAAAAAAAAGGTCATATTATTATATAATTTATATATATATATATATATATATATATGATATTGTAAATAAGATAAGGTATGGAATTTAATAAAATGTGAAGAATACGATAAAGATTTTCAAAGAGACTTAAGACTAAATAATTTAAATCATTTTCCGTACTTAAAAAAAATTGAGGATTGTTTGGTTGGAATAGCAACAAAATTAAATTGTGAATATTATGTACAAAAATTAGAGTGTTTATCAACTCACTTTGAAAATCGATTTGAAGACTTAAAATTACTTAAACCTTCGATTGCATTTTTAGAAAATCTCTTTGTAATTAATATTATTGAAAATGGATGTCCAATATTAAACTCGAATTTAATGGATACGGCAGCTTTAGAAATTGAACTATTGGAATTATTGGAAGATGAAGGACTAAAGCAGTTCAAATACAGTTGTCATTCTTTGTTTGAATTTTGGAAACATGTACCTGTTATTAAATATCCAAAAATTACTCTTTGCGTTCAAAAGTTAATTTCGATTTTCGACAACATTTTCTTGCGAGTCTTTATACTCAACTATGGAAATGATTAAATCTAAACATCGATCAACATTAACGGATGATCATTTAACGGAATTGTTAAGGACTGCGTTAACAACATATAGTCCTAATTTAAAAAAAACTTACAAGCAAAATAAACACGCAACAAATAAGAAAATAAATTATATTAAGAACACTTTATTTTTACTTATTTATTTCTATACACTATAATTTAATAAACTATTATACTTTTTCAAATATATAAATTCATATTAAATAAATCTTTTGTAAAAATGTTATAATGAGATGCGAGCCGCGGTTTGGCCACCTCTGCTATAGACTAAGCATTTATTTATTTATTTCGATATACAGTGTTTGACTTGGAAAAAATAAGAGGGGGTACTCTGATGACATAAAAATGTTGCATCTCTACCTAATTAAACATTGAACATAATCGTGTTCACCCCAGTGGCGTATTAGGAGGAGCTTCCTCTTTTACTTCAAATTTTTGTTTTATATTGTTATTAATTTATTAATTTATCATACTAAGAAATACATAAATGTGAATATAAGAAATTCACCTCTTCCCTAAAAAAGGCTCTAGAGATATCACTGGTTCACCCAGGTATTTATTATAAATAGTTACTCCAAAAGCTATCTACTGATATCTCTGTTAATTGTTATGTGTATATTTTATCACTTACATCCACAATCATTTTACGAATGACAAACTCACAAAAAAACACTGAAATTGAAATTAAATAACATAAAATAAATTTCAGTAAAATGAGAATAGTTTTCTTTAAAACTTTTTTACAGCATGTTTTACAGCAAAAAAATAGGTCACGAGCAAGTCCTTTAAATTAAATTATTCTTATAAAAATTCGTAAATAAGAATACAATTTAAGCAGTTTAGCACTGTTAAGTTAAAAATCGTATTTCTGATATGCTATGTACATTAAGCATACAAATTGTGAATGTTCCACGCATGGGCATATTTTAGGGGAAGTTAAGGAGCGACCCCCTCTGAAACCATATTTAAGGAATTGATTTAATGTAAGATATACATTTCAAATTTTTTTTAATGTTGATCATTTTATAACAAAATAAAATTACGCGTGGCTATGAATACTGAATCGAGCTTTTTGTCGGGTCCATACTTTGTAAAAAATCAAATAAAATACAACTGTAAATTTCAAAACACAAACAGTAGTTAAAAAATAACTACACAAAATCGATCCTAAGTGGATCCGGCATTAAATTAAAAAAAAAAAAAAAAACCACAAATATTAAAGATTCACTTGATTTAAATATTACCAAAATTTTACTTGTAAATTTTGAGTCTGAATTAAAGAAAAAATTTGAGACCCCTCCCTAGAAGTCTGAATACGACCCTGGTTCCACGAACATTTACTAATTTTATGTTGTGATTCAATGAAATTTTCACAAGCCCCTGCACAGCTTTAAAATAGTAAATCCTTTGGGGATACTGCAGATGTATTTAGTTCTCTTTCAATCGATATTATTAAAGATGCAGTGACATCATTGGCAAAAAGAAAAAATAATCTTCAAAGAAGTTCAATATAAATTTAATATTGAATGTTTTTTGTAGGTAATAAATATAAATATATTTAACATAATTATTTACTTAAAAAAAAATATATATATATAAAACAAAAGCTGTTATAATTTTCATAGAGCAAATTCCTGAAGAATATCATCATAGTTTATTGCTGTAGTGACATCAGCATCTATATTCATAATGACTAATGCAGATAATCTTTCTTCACCATGTAAGACCTTAAGTATGATTTTATACATTTTAGCGCTGAAAATAATATTTCAGGTGAATAGTTATTTGCTGAAGTGCATAATAACATTCTTAAAGAAATATCCACATAAAGAAAGATATTCTTTAAATCACTTTTTCTTAATACTAAATAACTACCAAAATTAATACATTCATTAGAAAATTAAGTTAGTTCCCAAATCTGTATTGAATACATTTTAATTAAAAAAAAAAAAAAGAGTAATTTTTTAAAAGGATGTAACATGCAATTTTTCTTTACAACAATTCTGACTTTAATTTATCTAATATTACAAAATATACCTACATTTACTTTGACAATATTTTTTGTTGAACTGACATCACAAAATGTTTTAATTTTTTTGTTTTTGTTGTTTTAGAAGTTCATAATACCACATTTTTCAATATTTTTTTTAAAACTTTTATAGCAATTATCTGTAAAAATATCACCAAAGTATTTAATTAATGATTGATAAAGTTCAACAGCAACATTTAAATCAATATCAACACTTTGAAGTTTTTTGCCAAATGTATTAAACTTATGAAATATGTATCCCAAATAAATTGATAATATGATTCTAATAAATTCAATATTTTAAATATAGGTACTATTTGCTTCACATAGAAGTTTTTTACATTCTCAACCACTTAGCTTTTTTCTAGATTCCATGTTGAAAATCTACGTAGAATCTATTATATAATATAGTAATATAAATATAATTTATAATACTATATACATTTATTAATCATGCATATAGAATATTGCACTTACCAATTAAATCTGAAGCTGTAGTTATTAGTTTATAGAAGGAATAACTGAAAAACTGAATAATAATTTTTTAAGTAGAGAGAATTATTAACAATAAAGAGTAAATACAAATATTAACACTAAGCGTCTAAGCATATTATTACTTAATACACGAGACATCTAAACATAGCGTAACACTCAAGTCGATTGATAAAAACACAATAAAACTGGTCGGCGACGCTCGGAGAAATATTTTTGAACGTAATGTTATTTTTACCTTGTATTTGCTGATAAAAAGGAATTGTTGTCACAGGCTATAAACCACGAATAAAGATAGAATTCCCATCTATAATCGTGATATATATAAATATAATAAATCACATATTTATATTTATATCTGTGATTATCGCGATCTCATGCCGCCCATAGATTCGTATAAAAACCGTTTATTTACATTATAATTATTATATCAACAGTAGCGGCTCGTAGTGAATATTCTGGAGAGACTTAAATTATTTAACACATCTCCATAAAACAACGAACAAGAAAAACCCTTTTGTTGGAAAATCAATTATACTTCATATATAATTTAATATTTTTAACATAATTTAATTGCAAATCTTTTTATAAACTAATTAAATTCTGCAATTTTTTTTATCTGCGAATTCGCAGATGGCGGTGTACGGCGACCACTGCACGGAAATTATTGTCGTTAACCCAGTTTCAATAGCATATATAATACGCGGATTATTCTCCCCGGCTCCCTACGTCCAACAAGTCGAACCTTACATGTTACGATTGATTTACGATTGAACCTGTCGGACGTCAGTTTCACTGAAACGTAAAATGTAACAACGGTCAATCGTACAATGGTTATTATAGGAGTTCATAACTTATAGCATTTACATATTATTTTTGAGAGGTCCTAGAAATACCGATGTGAGCTATACATTTGTTTCAGATAACTAAGAAGCTAAATACGAAATTATATGTTGCATATTTTTGCATATTTCAAAGTATAAGTACTATTTTGGAGATTCATTCTTGCATAATTAGAAATTTGTTATTTGCTATTTTGCTTTTTTAAGTCTTTTTCGGTTTCGTAACATTTGAAACATTTTTAATAACAAGTACCTCAGGGCTGGCGCTAGAAGTATTAACGCCTTGGGCGAAACCATGTTTTGGCGCCCTTGAAACCCCTCCCCCAACCCACTTAATTTAAGTAGAAGTAAAATAAAGTTTTTTAGTGAACTTAAATAAAATAAGTACATATTTAGTATAATAACTTAGTATTATATCAACGCATTTTTTGGACAGGTTTTTGTTTTTTCGTTGCAAGAATATAATAGTTCTAATTTTGAGCTTAGCGTTTTTTACTTTTTGAAAGTTTTTTCGGGGAATATATTATTTCATGCCACCACTGCCTACAATGTAGGAATACTGTGTTTCACTAACAACTTATTTATTAAGACAATCAGAGAATGGAGTTCATTGTAAATAACTACCTAAAAAGAAACCAAAATATTATGTAGAAATTAACTAAACAAAAAATATGAATATTGATTACCTGTTAACTGTAACTCGTGAGTTTAAACCAGGGATTCTCAAACTTTTATAAACACTTTAATAAACTTTTTATGTATCCCTTCTTAGTTGGTAAAATAAAATATATATTAAAAATTTAAAGACACACACATAATGCAAAATAAAAAATAAAAAGACCACCACAATGGTTATTTGTACTGATTATATGTATAAATAATACGGCTTATGGTGGAGGGGGCATGGCCTATTCCTCTAATAGCTATGGTACTGCATAGTTTCGTAAAAAATGCTGCAACCGACAGTATATACTTTTATAATGATAACTAACAAAAGCATCTATTACATTTTATTAAATTAGCTTATTAATTACGACACTTGGATGTTTACCACCTTAATTAAACAATAAATTGATAAAATTAAAAGAATAATAATAATGAAATATAAATAGGTATTTTTGTAAAACGAAAATAGTCATATAAAAAGTTTATAGCATTGTTGAACGTAGGACAAATCAAACAAATGTTGGACAGTCCTATCCAATGTAGTACGATTGGCAACCCTAGCATAGCTTAATGTCGTGCCAATATAATTTTAACATATATGACTGTGTACTTTGTATAACAGCAGACGCGTTTAATCAATGATGAATTAAACGGTTAGTTACAGTATCATTTTAAGCCTGAAATTCGCAAATGTTAACTTAAATTTTGGAGTTTTTTCCACTATTTAAATTTAAAAGTTTGTTGGCCAGACTCGTACCCCTTAAAAAATGTCAAGTACCCCCTAGGGGTACGCATACCACAGTTTGAGAACCACTGGTTTAAACATTTGACATTACACAGCAGATCGTACGTAGCAAGAGCTCGTCGAAAACAATAAATTGTACGTGTGTGTCGGGCAACTGTGTCTTTTTGATTTACGTAGGGGCGTAGCCAATAGGTAGGCCTGGTAAGCCCTGGCCTATCCAGAATTTTTCTAGAAAAAAACCAATAATATTTAGAAGGGAAATAAGTGAACAATTTTTGGATAACCCATCAGCTGTTATTGACGAATTTGCTGTCAAGAAGATTAGAATTTTTACTTAGAGAATAAATTAAAAATGCGTATATTAATTAATATTTATAGTTGTATTTCATAAAATTCTTATATTTAGGTACTTAAATAAAAGTTAAACCTTTTGAAACTATCTATTTATTTTTTCGTTCAATTTGTTTTAAGTTATTTATTATTCAATTATTTATAAGAATTGACAAATAAATAAGAATCACTGACAACTTTGAAATTGTGGTAGGCTAATAAAAAAAATCGGAAAAATTCCCATTTCCATCGGTGAGTAGAAGTTTTATAGTGGGCCTACCTAAAAAAAATATCCTAGCTACACCCCTGGATTTACGCCACACACCGCGGTATATTCGCCGTAAGGTCCAAACGGTTTTACCGCCGCGTTTTTTACGTAATCGTCTAGTTATATGAATTTATTTGTAAATGAGTAAATATTTTATGAAAATAAATATTAAGACCATCTATTTATTTACTCAGACAAATACGGTGGTATGTTTCCATGCATTATTTTTAAATCAAAACCAGCACTGTATAAATGCAGTACCTATATAAAGTAGAAAGCACAACTGTTATATTCTTACTTCCTGTAGATCGTTAATGTGTATTAAAAGATAAATTAGATGAAAACAATTTTCAGTTTGGCGCCCCTTTCATGCTGGCACTCGGGGCAATCGCCCGGGTCGCTCATAGCTTTCGCCGGCCCTGAAGTACCTAATTATAGAATTATTAATTTTTATACTTGTAATTAATTTATGTTAATTAACTAATTTTTCTTTTGTTTTAAATTATATAATTATTTGTATCATATAGCGACGCCTCAACATTTTATTAATAAAAGTTTAACATTTTTTTTATACATAGTTTATTTTTTTCACATATTTTTGTATTTTTAGTGCATATTTAAGTGCTTATATAAATATTTGTAAGAGCATATTTTAGCGCTTATAACTTATTTTTTTAGAGCTATAAGTTATGAGCTCTGCTTATTAAATTCGGTGCAACTAGATGAGGTTAAGCGGCATTCATGGAGACCGGAGGGGCAATATAAATGCAAATATTTTTCTAACTTCTTAATACCTATGTCTACAGCGATCAAGTAAGACAAGAACGAAGATTCTGCTAATAACTCTCAGTTATAAAGGTGCAAAAGTAGTCGATTTGACGAAAAATGAAAAAAACATTCAATCCAACTAATTTATGAAACTTGACAAATATTTAGATTCGGCTTTTTATTGGCAGAGACTAGGAAAAAAAAATAAAAATTTAAAAAAACTCAAAATTTCAAAAATTCCCCCTAAAATGCCTCCTAAAATGGGCATAAATATTAAATACGCATAAGACTCTTCTCTGCTATATTTTATAGGTGTACGCCAAAATTCAAGTAATTTCAGTAAATATAAAAGTAATTATAAATGAATCATTTAATAAGTAGTATGTATAAAATTAATCATTTACAAATCATAATTAATAATATACTTATACAATTTCTAGCCGATACGTTTGTACTACAAATATTTTATAATTGTAAAAACATCTTTAACTTTGATTTCTGTGATGATTATGACAAAAATATTTATAAAATTTATTTTAACATAAATTTAAAATCCTATTATAGTATAGTATAGTCTATACAATGTATAATAATTGTTGTTAAATGATAACTGTGACATTTCGTCGTTGCAAATTTTCCAACAACTTGTGAAAAATCCAGTGGCTGTAGTAAGTCAATTTAACAGCGCAAGGCCTGATAACCGACTTTATATCATTGAAGTTCGTAGTCGGTTTTTATTAACATCATTTTTGAAAATGATCGTTCCCCGTTACAGTTGCACACCATCAAAACTTAAAAATACAGTTTTTTGATCTTTGATCAAAATTAAATTACTAAAATTACAACCATAAGGTTGATGGTTGATTTGAGTAATTTTTTTTAAAAAAAAATCAATATATATTATATATATGTTATAATGTGTTGAGTGTTGAATTTTAATGGGAAGGCAACGGTTTTCGTTAGGTTTGACTATGTTGAAAGTTGCATTATAAAGGGCATAAGTTGATTTATTAGTATATTGCGGGTTGTCTGGGAGGATTTTTCAAGGGGGAGGATGCCCAAAACCGACTTATTCATCCTACTAACATTTAAAAATATTTGTATCGCTGCTATAACTCTAACTATGTAATCAAAATAAATCGGTTTTAAATTTTCTTACCTTATTTATACACCTTCACGGTGTTTATTAGTTTGTAAGGATGGTCATGGTAGCGTAATGGAATTTTACAATATAGATACATCGAAACGATTAATTAATTAATATTATTTATTAACTTTCACAGTCAAAAGTAAAATTTTTTGTAGTGATTTTAATGATTGTTTTATTTAACTACTTGTATTACATTAATATATATTTATACAAATGTAAGAATTCAATTTTACTCTAATAATAAAAAATTGTATTATTTGATTAAAATAGAAACGCTACATTGACATAGAAGCGTACACGTCATCAAGATAGAGCCAGACGTTAAATGTAATGACATAGAGCCGCAAGACGACAGCTACAATAAATAAAATCTAAAAAAATGAAGTTACTTAAATTTTGGGTTTTTGTCTATTTATATCCTTTAAAATCAAAATTATTAAAATCCTTTCTTAATGCACACCTAGACTATAGTATAAACATACTCAAAACGCTAGCTATCATAATTTAGGCTGTGCGTTGACTATGAATCAATCAGAATTTCTTCTTTTATGTATAAATATGTGTAATTAACATAATGGAATATAAAATATAACTTGGGGAAGTACTTGATACAACTTTGTTAAAAAAAATCGTTTAATTATTTAAATAAAACACTAAAAAATTGTGACTTTTAAATACAATAGACTCTCTCTTCCCCCTCAGATAAAAAAATGAAAAATCGGGCGACATGATGGAATAATTAGAAAAAGTTCAATAGTGTCGTCAGAACATTGGAACATAAAAAAGGCCTATTATTTTATATGTATATGGATTTATAGTACAGGTTATGAATTGTACTTGTAAATGTATGAATTATTATGTTTATACAAATATACTGTGAACATATTGACACATTTACATTGAACATCTGTACCTACAGTTATCTGTGGAACGTAGCCCATGGGTAACCTTTGACATATTTATTGTAATTTCTTCTATTAATTTATTATAAGGTAATAAAGATAAACAAAAAATTGTATATAATAAACAAAAACTAACTACATTTTTTAAATCCTTTAACATTTGACACTTAAAATTTATGAACAATATTATCGAATATATATATAAGTTGGTTACTGATATTGACAATGCAGATGATTATCTTGACTGGTTGAGACGCACCTTAAAGTAGTTTTTAGAATGTGATAATGACGTGTTTTAATTAGCTATGGTTCACTTATAGCAAAGAACTCTTATGTTTAAAAGTAACTTCATCTATACATGAAGCTTTAAAAATGTTAAGGTTTCCTTAACCCCTGCTCTCTCTTCATAATAATTAGGTACATTATTCACTAACTACCTACTGATAATAATTAATTTTTAATGTTCTATTGATAAATCTGAATAAAGTCCATTATTTTAATCGTCGCTTGCATCAAATAGGTACTATTGTTACAAGTATAATAATAATTTATATTTTTATGATTTATTTGGTTTAGAGTAACTTATTATGTTTTATTCACGCTTGTTATATAACGTTTTATATAGTGGTTTGACCTTATAAATAAAATAATAAATTAACAAGGACTGCAATTCTTTACACTTTAGCTGTAATTCAAGACAAAAAAATTATAATTAAAAACTGCGAATCACTTACATTATGTTTAATGATGTTTTTGAAAAAATATTATTTCAACGTATATTATAACAATTGATCATAGTATTCTAATATTATAAATGTTATAAAGGCAATATAAATTAAAATCTAGAAATCGTTAATTGTTTTGCTCAAGTATATGATAATCAAGTTTATAAAATCAAGTATAATAGAGTTTTAATTCAATTTAGGGATCTGGGCACCTAAATTCTAGAGTATTATTTGTTTGCATCACACGTTTCGATTTAAGTTTTAAAACGAACTAATTCGGATGAGGTCAAATTAGTTGAAGAGGGCATATCAATACATTTTCTGTGCAACGGTTTGCAACGCATTATAAAATAGCTGATTAAACATGTGGCATAGTGGTATGTATACGTTACTAGTGATGGATACTATCGAATAGTATTCGATAATTTGAATAAACTGTCGAATATATATTCAAATGTTTTTAATAAAACCAATTAGTGGTTTTTCAATAAAAACCATCGAATAGTTATTTTTTTTAGTTTGGCGGATTATTCAAATAATACTAACGAATGGTTTTATTTTTACATACTATTCGAATATTTAAATTCTCAAGAGTTAAGAGGACGTAACCTAACTTGCTTTGTATCCGTCTTACAAATGTAAAACATACTATAAACCATTTTACGTGAGCTGAACCATTCGGGCTGAAGTCAAAGTTAAGCAACCAAATTTATTTAAATCCGATGTGATTCCTTCCATGGATAAATAATAAATTGAAGAATAAATATTCTACTAATAATAAACAAACTATATAATAGTAGAAAATAATAATGTATAATAGTATATAATAGTATATCGAGCACTCGTATGATAACAAATTAATAAGTTACAAGTGTTACAAATATTGTTTAATAGTTTTAAAAAACTAATAAACTTTTAACTATTAAAAACTATTTAATAACTATTCGAACTATTAGATTAAATTATTTGAATAAAAAATATTAAAATAATTTTAAAACTATCGAATAGATTGTGACCATCCTCGAATACTCTAATTAATCGTTTAGTTGTGGAAGGAATATCGTATAGATAGTGAACTACTATCGAGTAGTTCGATAGTACCCATCACTATACGTTATGATAAATTAAATATTATTGTTCTTTACTCGTGTCGTATATTCGTGTGCGGTTTGTCCTTACATTAATTTTACGATTTGTTCTGTAAGTCAAGAAGTTCAGTAGATTTTTTGTTCACTATTATTTTTAAACTAAAATTATGTCGAAAGAAGAGCTTCCTTTTAAGCCAACGTTTATAGTGAATACTCGAAGACAAATCGTACGCAACTTTACCTTGCATCCATTGCCAAACTTACAGGTATTACCTAGTGGATGGCATAAAAAAATGTTTCTAAAAGTAAGTTTTGTACAGATTTAAATATATGTTTCGTGTTTTTTTTTTTATAAATAAAAGTAATGGGTGATGATGTAATATGACGATGTATTTTTTATATTATTTTATGATATAGTTTTACTTATTATGCAGTTAATAAAATAAGTCAACTCTAATTATAAATATAATATAGTTACTGAAAATGTATACACAAACAAAAAATTGTTATTATTTATATTATTGTATTATAGTTACTTAAATTATAAAAAATAAGGGTTAGCAGAGATAGGATCCTTTAAAAATAAAATGTGGATTATAATTATTATATTAGATTATTATATTATTTATAAATGATAGGTAGGTACAATTTCAATACAATACTGTACATAAACCGTTTTTTGCTTATTATTTAAAAAATCGTAAATGTAATAGTTTTGTCTAAATGAAAAATAAGTAACGTTGTTTATAACTAACATTAACAGTTTATTTCTAGGACTTGGATTTTAACATAATTTAGCTCAGAACTTTAATAATCATATATTGGTATATTGTTCATACTAAAATGTTACAACTAATATGTATCTCTTTTATAGATTATAATTATCGGTTTTGGTTTCTGATTGATTAACTTTTACCATTGCAATAAGTCAGTTTGGACCGACTAGGTAAATAGAGTGGTGCTATTGCAATAAACTGTAAATTATAATAAGTCTGCAGACTGTATGGATTTACATTAAAATTATAGTTTATCAGTTAAAATGTAGTTAAAACCTGTTCTCAAAATAGATTGTATAATATTTATTTAATATACAATGTAAAATAATTATATTATACATCAATATATTATTTTCAGGCAACTAATAAACTGAAAAAAATACACGTGATTTGGAAGAATAAAAGAATTCAAATTTCTCAGGATCTAAAACGTAAAAAACAGTTAGAACTTCAAATACTTGCTGAATATCTTTTCAAAGGTAATTAAAACTATTGTAAAATGTACCCTTGACGACTCCATCTAATTGAGTTCAATAACATTTGGAATTGATTTCAGACAAAAAATGTAATTACGAATGTTATTTACGTGGCTTGTTTTCAAACGAACGGTTGGATTCTATAGAGAAATATATGAAAATGTCATTTATGCGCACTTTAAACGAAAAATACATCGTAAGAATTATAAACCTATTTATTTTAAACATAAAAATAATTAAAATTTAAAAATATGCACCTATACAAATAGTTAATAAATGTATTACAATAATTTTTTTTTAGTACGGCGTCAAAGTGATAAAATTTGATAGGAAAGGATACAAACAAAGAACTAGACTTTTGATACTAACAAATAAATCATTGTGTTTAAACAAAATACTCAAAAACAAATTAAAACCCAAAGAAAAGATACCGTTGAATTTTATAAAAAAATTGGAAGTCACTTCGGGGATGGATAACTTTTTACTCATCAAAATATCGTCTCAATATCCACACAACAAAGTAAATAAATATATTTTTGACTGCTTATATAACCAAACGAAAAATAATGTTTTAAATATTATAAAGTGATAACTTTCATTTATAGGGAGATATCATTCTTGAAGTCCCATATTTAATAGAATTTGTTACTAAATTCATTAATATCTCGAAAAATTGTAAGCTGTTGAATATTAACGGTTTTGGCATTAATCAAAAGTAAGTAAAACTAAAACATTTGTCTTTTTACTCGAATTGAGTTACCAAAAAAAATTTAACATTTTATAGGTTATTTCATGACATAAAAGGTTCCAAAAGTGGCGTGATCGAATTGAAAAAGAGCAATTCTTTGCCCAGTGTCACCAAGGGCAAAAATAAAAATTTGATTGTTTGTGGATGAAGTGGAAAACAATATAATACATATCAATACTCTATTCATTGTGGTTTACATAAATATATATATATATATATATATATATATATATATATATATATATAAATATATATATATATATATTATAATAATTAACAATACATATCTATTACATAATAAACAAATTATACTTAATTTCTGTACATTTTATACCTGACCTGATTTAGTTCAGAATTTACGTCAGGGTGATGCAGATCGCAGACTTACTTTAGTTGCGTGGTTTATGACCGCTATAGACGAAAATCTATTTATTTTAAATTCAATATTATGAATCTAAATTTACTAATAATGTTGTTATTAATAAAAAAAATAGCCGTTACTGGGACGATCAAAATCCACATTGGACATTTGAAACCAATAACCAAAGTGTTTGGGGAACTAATGTTTGGTGTGGTTTAATTGGTAGTAAATTGCTTAGTCCTTTTTTTTATGATGGAACTCTCAACGATAGACGATATTATAATTTTTTATTAAATTAATTACCGATGATGCTCGATGATATTTCTTAAGCTATAATAGAAAATATTATTTTTTAACATGATGAAAAAATTACTACTGCAACAAAGAATGCAACAAGAATTATGCAGCGCTGAATCATATTTTGTTCACAAAGGACAACAATTTGAACAATTTATACGTTAAATTAATCAATAAATAAATAAACTTGTAACTTGAATAAAAATTAAACTTATTGTTAGTTATTGATAAATTCCAATAGATCCATTAAATTTCACGAAATAAACAACATGCCTACTTATTTACGTTTTTTCTGCTATAAGTTATAATACATACCCAAATTAAAGTGAAAATTATGCAGTAGATAAAATTATAATAACGTGTAAATATCATTTTAATAAATAAGAGTGAAAATATCAAGCCTTAACAATTCTAGAATAATTATTTTCAGTTACAGCCGAAAAAATTTAAAATCAAGCACATTTTATAGTTTTTTTGGTTAAATTTCTGTAACTTGGTCAATTTTGGACTTAGAAAGTTGGTTTAACTACCAAAATTCATTAAAAAAATAGGCAAAAAATAATTAGTTGTTAAAATAGGTGGTTGCCATTTAAGAAAAAAAAGTTGTACTTCGCATGCGCGTGTATATTTAAGTTAAAAAATTTGAAACTCGTAAAAATACACATTTTTAAATTATAAAAATCAACAAAAAATCAGAAGTCAAATCACAGGTCTCTACTCAAAGTGAGTGTTCTCAGTTAGCGTTTACACACTGTATAAGCACCGTAATATCAGCGCTAACACAAAATTACGAAATTATTTTTCATAGTTCATTATTTCAGTATTACAGTGATCATTGACTGCTTTCTTTACGTAGATGCTATTTCCATTTTTTTTATATATATTACTAAAAATGAGTTACTTATTAATAAGTGTGATTAATTGATTACATTTTTTCGTTCCTTAAAACCATAACGTATACCAGTACGTAATTTTGTTAACAATTGTTAAATAAAAATAGTTTATAATCAATATGTTGAATACTTTTTTTGTTTCATTTTGACTAGAAAATTATATATGATCACCTTATGTATGATTAATAATACATGTATGACAAAACGCGGGTTAATGTTGAAACGCGGGTTAAGACAAAACGCGGGTTAAGACAAAATACGTGTTAAGACAAAACGCGGGTTAAAACAAAATGCGGGTTAAGACAAAATACGTGTTAAGACAAAACGCGGGTTTAGACAAAATGCGTGTTAAGACAAAACGCCTGATTATAAATAAGGTGATTTGAATGTGGTAAGAGAAAATCCAAATTAAGGCCATCCAGGAGATAAGTGTATGATTTACCAATGGAATGCATGCTTAATCTTGTGTAAAAACTAATACGCCTAGGTTCGAAAAATCGTACAAAATCATGGTTTTGACTTGGGGTGATGAAAAGGGTATCAAACGATAGATATAGATATCTGCTATCCGTTGTAAAAGTATGGTACATAACATTTGAGAAACGAGTCCGGTGTGAACTCATTACCGGAGGTACTTATTTTGCCGTGTGATGCCTAGCGGTAGAGGTTATTTTTCAAAAACTCGCCAAAAATCGAAAACTCGACCAATCGGTCTGATAGGAGTATCAATCGATAGGTATAGACATCTGCTATCCGTTGTGTAAGAATGGTACATAACATTTGAGAAACGAGTCCGGTGTGAACTCATTATCGGAGGGTAACTCACAACCACATAATGCTAACATTGGACATTGGTTTCAGCAGCAACATCGCATTATTTTTTTCCGTCATACATGCGACTAAATCATCGGATCAATGGTGAACTCGAGCTCAAGTATAACAATAATAATGTACATGGTTTATGCGCTGTCCATTCGAACTCAATTTGACATAAATGCCAATGCACAATATCGAATATGTAATAATTTATAGTGTGTTATTTATTCCTTGAAATTATTTTTATTGATATTATATTCATGTTTCCTCACTGCCTTAGCTTTTAATGAACAATATTTTAACAGCATAGATAATAATATTATAATTATTATATAATAATATTATATTATAGAAGTATTTTCAAGCATTCAAACTATTACACGTGGGGTATTTTTTATTTGTGTTATCCATGTAAAGGTTTACGCAAACAGTAGAGCATAATCGGCCAAAAGGTCGATTGCGATATGAGTTCGAGTCGATCGTGACTACCTTTAATTTTTTTTTTTTCAAAAAGTAATTTAATGTTTATTATTTTATATTTTTGTTAACCCAAATTTCTTGAAAATTCATTGTGGTGTCGTATTTGGAGGGAAAGATAGTCGCTCTTGGAAATTGTTTTTTATAAAATAAACACGTTCGTTATTTTCTAGGTGCACACTAAACTGTGTGACTATGAGCTTTCTTTTCGTTTTTTTCGGTTGATGTTGCAAAAAAAAACATTTATGAATGTTATTCCTCAGCATGACAGAGTGTATACTTCAATATTATAAATTTATGGGGATAAAATATTTTAATAAAAGCAAATATACCTAAGGGAATCAACAAATTAGGTACAGTCACAATATTTAGCTTAGCAGTTTCTTAAACTTATAATTCTTCATATTTTTATATTTATACAGATAAATGCAATACAAAATAATGAGATTTTCATAATTTACAATAAATACCATAATTATTTATCCACACTCAACTAATGATACTTATAATAGGTTTATATATATTAGTTTTTTTTAATGAAACAGATTTATTATAATTTTGAATATATAAATGATTAAAAATAAATGGACAACATGAAATTAATAAGATAAATTAAATAGTTAGTTTAACTTATTGTAAAGTGGATAAATAATTTATTTTTGATATTAATTAAATAGTTATAAAATCAATTTTTTTTTTCAATGCGAATGAAGTTATTATGATTTGATTACATTTGGAGAAATAAGGATTTCTATAATTATTGTAACTAAAAATATTTCAACAATAATTTAATGTATTTTAATGTTCAATAAATACACTAATTAACTTCACAAAAAATGAAGGAAATATTGACGAAGATTGCAAAATTGAATTGGTTTCTTAATTATATTCATATTAAATTATACTATACATATTATACATTTATTTTGGCGTAACTTTAACTGGTTTAGGTTTGGTGGCTGGGGTTGCAACTGTTTGTGCGATTTGTTTTTTCTTCTTTGATAAAAATACTTTCTTGTTATCCGAAGCCAATGCTCTTAATTCATCTTCAGCCAATTTGTTAACATTTTTACTGATCATGCGTTTGATACGTTGACCTTCTTCATACTTGTGTTTTTTTGAAGGCATTGGGCATGCTATGAAATAAAATGTAAACAAATAATGAAATAATAAACAATTAAGAATCAAGTATAATAACACCAACATTTAACAATAAATAAATAAATGCTTAACCTGGAGTGTTATTAATTTGTAAAGTGTTACCAGTTTTGAATTAAAAATTCATTGTCAGGTAAATACAAAGTGAATTAAATTACAACTAGTTAAATATTATAACTTATTTACTTAACTATATATTTTAAATGTGCTATGATAATGTATTTGTACCAACAATTTAAACTTAAGCCAATACACCTATTGTATGTAAAATAATAAAGGAGTTAACTAGATGGTTCATAACAAGGAAAATACAATAGAAAGTTTCTGCATTTGGACGAGAAAGAGCTGCTAGTTTTTTTGTTTATTCATTAAGCTTTAACATTTTGAGCCAAAACAGTATTTGTATTATATTTCAATGGTCCAGTAAAACCAAACCTAACCTATACAATAGAATTTATTTTCTGTGCCTTAAACGATCATACTTGAAATTTTACTTACCTTTTAGCTCTGTCAGCATTACATGTTAATTATATATAAACTTTTTACAGTTACATGATTAAATTACCTTTTCTACTTTTATTTGTTTCGTGCTTCTTTTTCTTTGTAAATGAAACTTGTGATTTATTTTTAAATTTTCCCTGTGGCATAGTGAATGAATTATTTAAAATGTTTTTATTAAGGCAATTATGAAATACAACGTAGTTAAAAAAGTGTGACTTCTTTCTAATCTACAAAATAGGAATTGGGGTAATATTATTTATACGTAAACCATAGACAGTACATAAAAACAGTTACCAAATCAAACACGTGAATTCTTATCATCAAAATTGATAACGATTTGAAAACTATTCATAAAGTTTGGTTATAAAATTAACACTTGGTATTTTTTGAATTTTTTACGTAGATTGAGAAGAAGTAAACAACTGATTGCCAATATTTGCTTACAATACTTTTTAATACAATTATATCAAAGCAAATATCACAATCATAAAATGGAAGTTAATGTTGCGGAAATTAAGCTTGAATATCAAACAGAAGAAGTAGCAATAAAAAATGAATCGAAACCTACAAATAACGTAGACGTAGTGGTATCTATAAAAAAAGAAGATGCAGATGAATCTGATGGAAAAGAATTGAAACCTACAAATAACGTTGATGTAGTGGTATCTATAAAAAAAGAAGATGCAGATGAATTTGTGGGAAAAGAATCGAAACCTACAAATAACGTAGACGTAGTGGTATCTATAAAAA